ATCACAAAGCACTTATTAACTCCAGCAGCTGTAATTGCAGATTTTGTGTGTAACTAGACAGAAACCTGAGTTAAACCCATGCCAGTAAATGTGCAGAGCATGGCTGAGGGATTCTGTCAGATGTAGGTTAGCAGGGTCCATCTGACTCCCCGAGGAAGTGCTAAAATAGAGAGAGATCTGTTGGCATCTTTATGGAGACTGGGAAAGAAAACAAACTACAAGCAGCTCTCTTGAGAACACAGCTACAGTTTGTTCAGCTGACAGTCACTAATACCTATTCCTAAACAAACAAAAGCTGTACAATCACAGAAACAATTTTAGGCCTTGTTTCATCCTTTATTCTATCTCCTGCTTCATCCATCATCTGTCAAATGCAGCAAGAATTCCAGCGAGAAGCTGCCATGAAGAATTATCTCAAATATCAGCAACTTGCACAAAGGGAGGTTGTATTTTCACTCAGTATCCCACTTTCAAAAAGCCAGTCACCATCACATTAACTTCAAACTGTATCTCTTACTCTTAATTTTGAATTTCCTTGAGAAATTTGGGCAGATGCCTGCACAGGTCTAAATGAAGGCTGCTGTGAGGCAAATGTGTGTCACATCTTGCTCTCAGTGACAAGTGCCAGAGGCAGTCACAGCAGCTGAATGGATTTGAGTGGCACAAATTCAAATTTGAATTTGAATTCAAAGCAGGAGGAGCAAAGAAGCACCACCCCAAGACATGGCACAAATATCAGTCGCTCATATGGGTGGGAAGACATTTCCATCTGTGGTTATAATAAAGGGAGGCAGTGAGCCAACAGCACAGGCCACCCCAGGTGTTCCTTTCTCAGGTGTGTATGGCTTTATCCCATGAAAATCCCAGTATCAGTTTAAGAAATTAAATTCTGGGGGAAGTGCTAGAAATAACAAACCTGGAAGATGCCAAACATTTATTTTCTCAGGGAGGCCACACAGCCTCCAGTCTGTATAGGGAGCAGGAGAGGTACATAAGAAATGTGTTATGCTTGGGAGTACTGTCTCACAGGAGAAGTGCAGGATACAGGACATCCAAAATACAGGACAAAGACACAGTGTGGACATCCTGGCATACTGACTTTGGCTTTCTTAGAACCAGGGGAAAGGTGGAAGTCCCTTCAGGGAAGAGACTGAACTTCACAAAGTCATGTTTCTCACAGATCTTTCAGAAAACAGAGGTGCCTTTCTCCTGTTCAAGGATTCCATGTCACAGCTGTAGCCAGTCAAGTGAAAAGGAGGAGAACAAGTAGTCAAATAAATGGTAACAGGTAGTCAAATAAATGCCAAGAAACTCAGGAAGTTTGCAGCAGTATCTACCATCTCCTGTGACTAAGCCAGCTGATTTTTATATGGGCCACAAAATGCAGTCTCAAACAATTTACCAGCTGAAAATCTTTCTGGGACAATAAAAAACTTGCCCAGAAGCAAATAGCATCTTGTTCAGCTGTAACTCTTGAGATATTCCTTACAGACACACATAAGGTGGGGTCCCAGAGCTGCCCTGTAAAATTTAAAGTTGGATTCAGTAAACATGACATTCCAAATCCCACTTCCTCCATATTTTCACTTTTTTGGCTGAGGAACCCAGCGGCAGCTTTGCTCACTGGGCAGGTATGATACAGAGCACAATTAAATATGCTGGAATAATCCTGAGAGCACTATTCATGTGTAACACTCAGTAATTGGCCTCTCAAGGCTGGCACGAGAACAAACACAAGACCCTTCTGTCTCCATGAACCAATAATAGCAATATTTGTTCAAAGTTTTGCTGTGAATTCCCTTCCTTCATCTTTTCAAACTGCCAGATGCCAAAGGCAGCTGATAAACGAGAGCATTGTTAGTGGCCAACATTCCATATCAAAGCTCCAGACTCTCTGAGAGGCAAAGCCAGACATTTCCTGAGTGGATTTCCAGAGCTTCAGTATTACTAAGCATAATCCATGAAGAATCCACACTGTCAGTGAGCTGCCAGCACATTCCCAAGCATGTAGTGATACTGTTTGCTGGAATAATTATTCCTAAATGAATATTCTACCCAACTCTGGCAGGAAGGCAGCCTCTTCCTGGAATTCAGACTCACCTTTACAGTCCTGGAGGGAGCAAGGTTTTTTAGGATGGATTTGTGTCAGCCTGCTGAGAATGCAGCTCCTCACATCCTGCTGACCCACATCTGATCTGCCTCCAAATACCAGTGAAAACAACTCCATCATGCCACCATACCTGCAGGTCCCAAGCACTCCTCAATACTTCTATCATTTTTTTGCCTTGGATTTTCCCAAAGGCTTGATCCAGGTGGGGAAAGAGTAAAAGTCCCATGCAGCAACTTGCCAAATATTCACTGCATCAGCAAAAAAGTAACCAAAGCTCATTTTCTCTTCTAATTTTCCTGAGGTTCTGGTCCTCCTGTGAATTACCTGTAGCAATACCAAACACCAAACAACTCAAAGAAAAGCAGCTGCCAAATGATTGTGTTCTTTATGGGCTTAAACAGAAATATAATGGAAGAGAAATGCCACTTTCCTTTTGAAATTGGTGACTTATGTAGTAAAGCAGGAAAAGGAGAAAACCACTGTTTAAATAAAAGTTTATTACTTCACCTGTTCTTACAAATACCTGTAATTTTCCAGAAGGTATTAAATATTTTTTTATGCCAGAAAATTACCTAGGAAAAAGCACTTTTACTAATATTTCCTCTGTAAGGACAGAGAAAGGAAAAGGGGAAAATGTGAACTCAAATTGATCTCTCTGCACTGTAAAATTGCAGTATTCCTACATGTGCCTAACTTTCTCTAACACATACCTAAACACACAAAAAGGTAGTTGGATAAAACTAATATTTTTTTCATTCCTTGCAGTTATTATTTCATCAAATCCCATTTCTAGGCAGAAACACTCAGTTGCCCCTAATTGTTTTAGCTTTCATCATAGAGAGGATTGAAGACCAGATGATTTAAAGAGAATAGTGTGAGTGGATGTTTTGAGATCCATTGCAAGCACTACAGCAGTGTTTTGTTAGTGAAACTTCCATACAGAATTTGGACTTCATTGCTCTGGTCTTTTCCTTGACACCTCCAAATATTCTGGCTTTTTCTCAATTCTTCTTTTACACTTGCATTATGATTGTTCTTAGTGTGCAAATATTTGTGTTAGGTCTCTGAAACTCATCCTTCTGTGGATTTCACAGTAAAAATCACTGGGGAAAGGAGGGCAGGAGAGGCAGGGAAGGGGATTTTCTGCCTCTGGATGAGGGAAGCCATTAGGAGGCTCTCTGCTCTAGGCTTTTGACTAATTCATAGTCAACACCATGGTTTTAGATCAATTGCAGCCAAACTTTTTAAGTTCCTTTGTTTCCTTCCGCTGCCTGCAAGAAAACTTTCCAAACAGGCATTAAAAACCTGTCCTGTTTATATTTTAATGGATGAGAAAATTTTCCAGTATCTCAGCTTTTTCCCAACCCCACTGGGACCAGAATTTGGCAGCATTTTAATATGGGGGAAAGGAATAGTTTTGCATCAGGTGTCAGCAGTGCTGTGTTCTCATGAACATTAAACATGCACACACCACTGGCCTAAAGGGGTTCTTAGGAAACAGTGAGAGAAGTCAAAACTAAATCTTTATTTCTACATATTTTTTGTTCATTGTTTTAAGTAATTATTTAGAGCCAGTGCTTCAGTGAAAGAACAAAATGTGGGTAATACCAAATTGGAAAGGGGAAAAAGCAGCACAGGAGTCTGAAATCAATCTGTCAGGCTCTTGGACACAATGAGGGTAATTTCTTTATCCAGGTGATAGTACAAAAAGAGAGGAAGCATCACTACACCTGTTGCTTACCAGAAGAGATAAAATAAATGTTGGGAGCTTGGTTTTTATTTATTTATATGTTTTTTTATTTACATTTACGTTTTTAAATGGTAGAGATATCAATATTGGCAGCAGTGTGGGCTGCAGTGATCATGCCCTGGTGGGTTTCACAAGCCCACAAGGAATATAGGCCAGACAAAGAGTCAGAACACTGAATTTTAGAAGACCAAACCATCAGTTGTTTAAGGAACCAGTGGATGGAATCCCCTGGACAAGTTCCTTCAGGGAAAGGAGCTCTGCAGAGCTGGCCACCTTTAAAAACCTATTTATTCAAGCAAAGAGCACTCAATTCTTCTTTTGGAGCAGCTGTCAGAACTGTGCAAATTAAACACCTGGGGAGGCTGGTGTGACAGTAGCTTCAGACTGAATCACCACATTGCTGCAATAAATTGGACTGGGAATGTTGAATGCTCTTTTGGTTGTCTTTGCTGAAAAGGATGAAACTAAAGTGTGTTTATCCTTTGTAAAGATGAAGAAAGATACCTTTAGGGGGTACAGGAATATAGTTGGTGGTAACTGCAGTCCATTGGGGTTTGGATAAGGTCCTGTGCCATGTTTTTAGTGATTTCTGAACATTATACTGATACTGGAACAGTTCAGAAGCTGCCACATCCACCAAGTGCACATCTTTAATACCTGTGACTAAATCACATGGGAAAACATAACACAAGTACACAAGTCAACAATAAGTTACAAGGCTGCTTTTATTAAGATAACAAAACTCCTGTAAACAGACTCAGTCACAAATGACAGTTTCTGCTGAGCATGCAAGGTATCAAATACAAGCTACTGGTTCACATTTCATCCTGAGAAGTAGTGCTCAGCTTTTGAAAACAGCATAGCTCCACCAAAATCAACAGGCAGATCTCTAATCCTGTCACCTCCAAGAAGTTCAGGATTGTAAGTACTAAAAACTAGAAAAATATTTATAGTAAAATAGCTGATCCTGTCACTGAGTGCAGAAGGCAAAGACATTTAACATTTGAAACTGAGCAAACTGAGCAAAAGTTAAGAGACTCCTACGTAACAAGAACTAATTGTTGTGCTGTTGTCCAAAGAAGCTGTGGACTCCCCATCCCTGGAAGTGTCCAAGGCCAGGCTGGATGGGAATCTGAGCAAGCTGGGACAGTGGAAAGTGTCTCTGCCCATGGCAGGGACTTGGAGCTGGATGGTCTTTAAGGTCCCTTCCAACCCTTCCATTCTGTGAGTCCACGTTCATCAGACTAAGACTGCAAAGATATTTTATAATTTCACCACTTACAACTAAGTGGATTTTTATTTTTTTAGATCAGGATCTGGTGACTCTTATTTCCATAAGGAGAAGACAAGTCAAAGTGTCTTACTCCTTATAGAGTCACTTGAATCTAAAGCAGAATGCAAATGATTATTCTGAAATTTATTGATATAGTTAAAAGGCATATATAAAAGCTCTAAAATCAATCAGTACAACCTTTTTCAAAATGTGGAAGTCTGTTACCCAGTAATCTTATTACCTAATAGAAATTGGACTGGAAGGATAGAAAAGCCACTTTCCTCTGCTATTCTGTACCCAAAAATCAGTACCTAAGTGCTTTGGCTACTAGAAACATTCATGACTTAAGCTAAGGACCAACTTCTACTAAGAGTTATTTACAGTGGTGTCCATTGGTTTATAAATTACTAAGTTAGCTGTGACCCAGGCACAGCAGATTATCACTGTGTAGGAGGAGTGACTGCAGCAAGCAGAACCACGGGCTGGTGGGACAAGTTATTGACACTTCTCCAGCACACCCACTGAGGTGGGGATTTGGGGCAGCAGAGAAGAGCAGCCCAGGAAAGAGCCCTGCAGGAGATGATGACTGCATGGAAGAGGTTTCTGCTCCAGTTTATCCAGCTGAGATCGTTGTTGTACCCAATGGACCGTGTAAACTGAGCTGCTGCTGCTGCACTGATGGTCTTGGAGCCAGGCAAAATTCAGGTCAAATTTATTTGCAGTTGGAGAGCTCTCACTTAGGTGGGCAGCACTATGTGGCTTGACTGCACAATCATTAGGGTCTAATTAAGCAGAATACACAGGTATCAGTTGATTTATCTGGAAAATCATGGGTTGCCAGCAACAAAAATAGTTTATCTTTTTCTTTCTTTCTTTCTTTTCCACTGAATCCTTGTTGATTACAGAATGAATCAAATTTTAAAACTCCTGCTGAAGAACACCCTGAGTAGGTTAAGCCCCAGATCCTCAGGGGCTTTTCCTTACTTGGTGGCAAATCCAGTGCTTGTTCCCCAGCTTCTGTATACTTAAGGCGTTGCACAATTAGGTCTTCAACGCTGTTGCAGCTCAAAGTTTCAACCTCACCCTGAGTAAACAGCAAATCACAACCTGAAAAAAAGATCTCTCTGAGGGTTTGCTGATTCACTTCCTTGAATATCAATGGAAACATGCAGCTTGTCAATATTAATGGCACAAGTGATGCTGAGATGAGCACATAGTGATATGTCACAGTGAGAAATCAGATCTTGGAACTTAAAGAGAGAGACAGATGTCTTTGTTTTCTTCCCTTCTATTTTACCAATGGAAAAACTGCCAAAATTCACTTCAACCTGGAGCTGTTGTCACAAAGAGTTCTTAAGACACCAGGGAAGAACCAGATTGCTAAGAAAAAAAGAGGTGGAGGGGAGAAAGGGGGTATAGAATCCTTTTATATATTACATTAATTTGAAAGAGTAAGTGTTGTGCAGAGCAAGGAAAGCCAAATGCTGAGTGAAGACAAACTTCGGTTCTCCATGTGATATGATCCCACTAGGAAAAAAAATATAAACTAAATTAATCAGGACTGAGACAAGTAATCAACTCCCTTCCAAAGACAGTTAATACACAGGAAAGAAGAGCTGAGTAGTTCCAGCTTCAAAAGGGAGCCATTAACTGAGGCTCCATCATGATGTAAGAGTGTTATGAACCTGACAATATTCTTTATGCTACAACCTCTTTGCACAACTCCAGAATTCCCATTACTACCAGGTATTACTCAGGTGAGCAGAATGATGAGCACAAGAAGAAGAAGAAGAATGAAGCCATTCTTGCTCTGTGGAGAGACTCTGAGATTTCATGTGTAGGTTTTAATTCAATGAATTTTGATATGCCCTTTGTGCTGGGTTATGGCTCTGTGGTGGGATTCATATCCCTGATGGAAATACAGCTGCTGGACTTGTACCAAGGAGTCCCAGGTACCTTCCCTTGGGACACATCCAGTTCTTGGGAAGCCACCAGAGCATCACCCTCACCTCAGCCATCTCCCAGGAGCTGCCCAGAGCTGGGTAAGTGGATTGAAAGACAGGGAAATACAGCTAAATGTGACCACTCAAGACTTAGGAGCAGGAAGCTGGGATAGAGCTTTCCCTGTCCTTTGCCTGTGGTGTATATTACACATCACTGTGAATTGAAATGAATCACCTGCAAATGCCATGGGGATGTGTCCAGTGCATTTACTGAGGCCATGGCATTGTCCTGTGGGAGGCCTGCTCCAGGGAAGGATTACTGACTAACTCTGGCAATAATGGCAAATAAACCTGTTTCCAGGAACAGAATTCAATCCACAGCAAACACCCTTGAGTTGGGAAGTGCTGTTAGGTGGTGTTTCTCAGCCTGACAGCTTTCTCACTTCACTCTCCTCCTCTTAAAGAGACAAGCATGCATATGATGCTGAGCTGCTAGATCCTGTAATTCTACAGAAAAACCTGCTGAATCCTGTGGTATCCTGAGAAAGTGTTAAATTCTCAAGTTTCAGACCATGTGGCAGTGGTTAAGTCTCCTCAGAGCTGTGCTTTCTGACTCTCTGCAGGCACATGTAAGCACTGCTTATGCATCTCAATATTTCAAACTCTATATATTTAACATCCCACTACTTTCTCAAAAAAAAGAAATCTCAAAAAAATAATAATTAAACCTAAGCTTCTGCAGAAAGGGATAACTTCTGAGATAAATTTATAAAGAGAGTGGTAAAGTTTCTCTCCTTTATTACACTAGTGACTGGTTTAAACCCAAAATTTATATGTTTTTTTGGTGGAAATGGTTATTGGTGTTTTCTAAGGTGATGTGCCATTTACTCTGACTGAGATCAAAACCATGAAGGAAGATAAAGGACACAATACAGTCTTCTTCCTCTTGTAGGCTGCATCATTTGAAAACAGGGAAGAACAGCAGGAATTTCTTTCTTACTTGTATGGCCTTTACCCACAGCAAAAAGGAAAAAGGACAGCAGCTTCAAATACTCTCATATAAAAGATGGTCATCTACAAGTATTTCACCATTTCAGGAAGAGATAAACAGCTAAAAAGTGCAACTGATCATAACTGATGACTTACATGTGGCAACCTGGGAATCACTAATCACAGAACACTTGGTAGCTGAAGTTGTCAGACTTGATCCTGAGGTTGTATCTCCCCGTCTTTCGCTGGTACTGGAAAATGAGAAGGGTCACAACTCCCAGCACAAAACCAAACACAGCAAGGGCTATGAGGATGATGTATCCAATTCCCATTCCAGCCTCCTTCCCTCTCTTCGATTCAGATGCTAAAAAAAATATAAATAAATAAAATAAATCAAGAGGTAAAAGTAAAAAACGTTGATATTCCTAAATCTTTTACCGGGGAGAGAAACAAGCCCTGCATGTTAATTAACCACCATGCCAGTACAGAATTGTGCTAAAGCAGTGTATCAGCCTTCTGGGGAGGGTGATTCTCATGGAAAGGGTGTGAAGACAGACCATGCTCTCTCTTTACATACCAGTGTAGAGTCCCTGCAGACATGAGTGTGATTTTCAGCTAAAGCAAGAATCAAAGAATTAGTGCTGGTGACTTTTTTAAATGCTGCCTTGCTTTCAGAAGTGCTTTAGAGGTGAAGCATTCCCCTAGGTTAATCCTGCCTCCATTCACTTATGATTATAAAAATTACTTGATTTGCTTTTATCATATATGTAATATTCTTCAAACACAGGTTATTTGGGGAAGGTTCTCTGTGTGTGCTGGGTCTCTAAGCTCCCAGCTGAGCCAGCAGCGATGTGGCTGGCTGGTCAGTGGAGTGACACTGGCTTGGTCTCCACGGGCTCAGTGCTGCACCTGAGCAGTCATTTGGAGCCAACTGAGCAGCCCAAGGCTGTGTGCAGTGTCTGCACAAGTCTGGCTGGCAGGGTACAGGACCTGCAGGACACCTGTGCTCTGCTGGAAGAGCACCCAGACCCAGAGGGGAAGGAAAGAACGAACACCAAATGCCCCAGTGTGGGCAAGAGTCAAGTCCCACATTGCCAACTGCCTCCCAAGGCACCACAGATCACAGAAAGAGTTCTCCTGGTTCCCTTTTAACCACTTCCATATATTTGTCCAAATCTGCAAGCAGAATTTATTCTCTCCCTTTATCATTATGCCTCTTTTCCTATTTGTCCACGTGCTTGTAATTCCTTCCTCGATGCACCTACAGAAACATGCATTTCTTTGCTTACATTTTCAGGACAGCACTTGTTTTGCCAGGCACTTGTGTGGTACCCGAGGTACACAGAAGATAAATGCCACTGCACACATGCCTGCAATTAGAGACAAGATATTTTGGCCAAAGGGCACTGCTGGCAGCCCCAGAGGTCAGTAAGAGCAGTGCTCAAGCTACAGGACACCCAGGGCATCATTCCAAGACAGGCCAAAGCAGTGCTGTGCAATATATTCAGTCTCACTTTTGAATTTCAGCATAAAACAAAGTAATAAAGGAGAACATGCACAGTGGAAATGGCAGTCTGTAGGCAGACACAGAGCAGGCCCTCCTGAGCACGTGGGACTTTGCCATATGACATCTGACCAAGCCTTGGCAGAGCAGGTAAAGTGTTTCATGTTTCACTGCAGCACTTACACCTGCTGTTACCTGACATCATAATTCATGTTACCCCTTCAACACAGAGATGCAGATCACTTAACATGTGCTGTGATTATCCAAACTAGAAATAAGAGACAGCATCCAAAAGTGCCACCTTTGCCAGGAAATCAATTTAGCACAATCCAAAGAAAGCTCCCCTCACCAGAGGCCCTTTTGGAAAATGGCCATTTTCCAAATTAGAAGTTAATCAGGATTTCCAGCAAAAATATGAGTGAAAGCTACTTGTAAGAGCTGAACAAAGAAAGCTGCATTAATTGCTTTATTTATCTATTTATTTATTTTTAAGAATTAATTCAGAAATGAGTACTGAGGGCCTATTTGAACAGACCATGTAATGGAAGAAAAATACATTCTTCTAAGTCAGAGTCAGTTCCTAGGTCCAAAAGAACATTATGAACTGTCTATTCACTGTAACCACAAGTTAAGATTCTGATATTGGTGAGCCAAAACAGTCTCAATGAGTGTTTTACTTTAAGAAGTTATAAATGTAAAGCTGGATGGGGCCAAATGACTGAAAACATGAGAGACCACGGATGCCCTTGAAAGCATCACTCAGGGTAAATGCAGAAAAAGCAGGTGCATAATAAATTAGACCTTGCTTGTCCCTAGTGCTGGTGTTTGCCCTCAATTAACCTGTGCTGCACCAAATTAACCAAGGGTGCTGTGCATCAGCTGCTCCCTGCCACTTCCCCTCACCATGGAAATGAAGTCAATACCAGGGAGCCAAAGGAAACACAACAATAAAATCTCTTACATTCTCTGATTTGGGACTTCAGAGCCCAAAATAATTGCAGACTAACAGCAGTGTACACACTTCATAACCAGATGCAATCGGAAAGGTCGACTCTGCTTTCACATGTTACAATTGAAATAATTGTTTGATTTTGTGGTTGTTGCACTTGTTACCCTGTGCAAACAGCCACACAAAAGCACTTTGTCTTCCTTTCTACATTCCCTTGACAACCTGACAGTCCCAGCTCTGAGCAGGGCACGTGCTTCTCCACGCTGCCACGTGGCTCCAGCAGGAATACCTGCTCCCAGGGAATATAGAGGAGCACAAAACCCTGTGGGTCACAGGCCTTCAGTTCCTTTGGCAGCAGAGAATAATCTATCTGGGCATGAGAGTGTGCTCTCAACTCACCAGCTGATTTACACAGGGGTCCCCAGGATGTTCTGTGCAGGGCGAGGGTTTCTCCAGCCTTCAGGAGTCCAGCCCTTGTATGGCATCTCTGCAACGATCAATTCAAACTCCAACAAGTCATGTGGCCTTACTAATTAAAAATACAAAGCCTTCTGATAAGCTTGTGAAAGCCCAGTGCTACTCTCACCATCGGGCTTTTGTTTCTTAGTGTTATGCTCTGTTAAACTGAAATCAGCACCAAAAGGAAGTCCAAAAGAAATGGCATCAGGGAAAAAAATCAGTATAAAATCTGTAATTAGTCACACTGGAACACACTGATGTGAAAACACAGGCAAACTTTTCATTAACTTTCTGTTTATGTTAGAGAAATCTTATGGGAGAATAAATTTATCACTAATACCAGGGTTTTACAAGCACTTTTGTTTGGATGTTTCTGCTGCCCATGGCAGGCACTGCAACCAGGAAAAGCAGCAGCAGCTTCCAGACCCTGCCGAGGCGTGTGTCATTCTGAAGCTACCCACAACCTCAGTGACACATGAACCACTGGTCTGGGAGCTGAAATCCCTGTCCTGTGGGATACTGGGGATCAGCTTTAGCTCTGTGTGAGCAGCACTTGCAGAGAGGCATTCTCTGTGCACTTCTTTTCTTTCTTTTTTGTTTGCTGCCTTTTTGTTTTAAGCTGCAGCCTAAAGGTCCCTGATGGCAACCAAAACCTACTGGCATTATTCAAAGGGTACTGTGGCTCTCCTGGAAGAGCACAAAAAACCCCAGAGAAATGGCAGCACCATACCATGACCAGAAAAACCAGCAGGGTGTCTTACCAGCTTGTTTTCACCAGAATGTCTCAGCAGTGTTATCAGTTTGGCTGCACTGGATAACATCTACCATCCTGCACTGCCAGCAACATTGTCTTCAGCTGGGTCAGCCCCCAGAAAAATAGCCATGTGGTTATTTATGACTTTGGTCTGCTTTCAAACAAATTTCCCTGGTCAGTAGATCCATTAGAGAACACATTTATGTGGTTCCTCCCTTATGGAAATGAATTTTTGGTTCCACATGGCCATGGAGCAGCCACGTTCCACCAAACATCTGCATGGTGGTGGCACATTCCTCCTCTTCCCATTCAAAGTAATTTTTCTTACTCATTTCTTACTACTTCTCTCCTCAACCAGTCCATTTTTTTTTTTTTATTTCAACTCTAAACTTCAGAGCACCTTACTCTCTTCCACAGAGAAAACAGGGAATAAATAGACTGAGTAAGAAGAAATAATCCAAGATGTAAGCATCGAGTGTGTGGGTGAAGAGCTGAGCTAAACCTGCCCTGAAGCAAGTCACTATTCCCCAGAGTAACAGATCAGAGGGTCAGATCCCAGACCCAGGGCATTTTCCCAGCCATCTTACATTATTTACAAATATCCTCTGTTCTTGCTCATCTTCCTTGATCTTTGCACCTTCTGCAGCTCCTCCTCCCTTCTTTGTAAAAGCCATTGCTCACCCTGTGCAGGACTTGTCTTCCCCACATCATAATTTATCCTCAGCTGAAGATACTGAATTCACTGACTTCTCACAGGGTGAATTTTGCATAGGAGAAAGAACAATGCATCCTATATATATTTGTATTTGTACTCAGCTGCAAAAACTGCAGCCATCTTACCATTGTCAGTCATGTTTCCTGTCCCTACTTTCTTTTTCTTTTAGTTTTTTTTTTTTCAATCTGGAGGAAGCCTTATACTTTGAGAAAGGAAACAAGCATCTTCTGGTAGCCTTTTTTAATCCTTTAGGAAGAGATCATTTGCTTTAAAAGAACACCAAACTGCTAATGAAAACATCCTTGATAGAAAAAGAGCCAGGAAGGTTGGCAGAGGAAGAGGAGAATTCCCAAGTGTTTGCTAGTAAGGAAAAAAAACCACATCAGTTAAATGTTTTTTTCTTATTTCTATGGCAGCAACACATTTTTAGATAAAGCTGTGTATCACTTACTTGCAAGTAAAAAGAAACAATGCAATGCTTTGTAGCACAGACAATTAAAAACTGCAGCTCTTATCAGAATATGGATTGGTTTATTGCTTAAAAAAGCCATAATAAACTCTATTAAAGTCATAGACCTAGAAACTTAAAAAAAAAAAAAAAAGGACAGAAAATTGCATAAATTTACTCAGACATTCTTCTGACTCCTCTGGGAGTTCCTATTTTGTGACACATCCATCTGAGCTGACACTTTTCTAACCAGCCCAATTTCATTGCTTTTTAGTCATCCTTAAAATGAGTAGAATGTCTAGTTTTCAGGTTTCCCAACTCTGTGCAAGCTCCATGTGTTTTTCTAGGAGGATGAGCAACAAGAAGAAAAGCTGACCCTTCCATATGGTTGTAGTGTTTCCCTACTCCTCTCTGCTCTCACCAGAGAACAAAAGAAACCTCAAGAGTTATTTTAAACCTTGTTTGCAAACACTACTCCTTCCATTCCATCACAGGAGTCCATATGGCAATGAGAAAAATATATCTGGGGGGGGAGGAAAATAACAGAGCAAAACACTTACAGTCCTGCAGGTGCTTCCTGGTGACTCCATACAAATACGAATTCTGCAGTGTAAGTAAACCACAGAGTTGTTGACAAAGGAAAAAATTTTCATCTTAAACTGAGCTTTGCTTGAATTCCCATTTTCCAGCAGAGTGGTGTAAGTGTTTGGGATGGGACAGCTGAAAAGGGAGACAAGAACCACACAGAGCAGCTAAGGCTAGAGAAGGCAGGTTTTGGTTCTAGCACAGAACTTGGGTTTTAAGGCTTTCCTTCCTTTAGGAAATTACAGCCAGACCCTTCATGAAGCAGCTCTGGCAGTGCAGTGGGGATAAGGGGCTGTTTGCTGCTTTATTCTCACAGTGACCATGTGGAACAAGAGATGGCGGAAGTGGTTGGAGAGTTGGAGAAGAAGGGAAAGAATAACAGAAAGACTGATTTACACTTGGCTTCACCAAACACAAATTGAAAAAAACCATCAAATTTAAAGGACTAGATTTTGTTACTGAGAAAAATGATTATCCTGTATTTTAAGGTGGCAGGTGAGCCTAAGAAATGTGACATTGGGGTGAGATCAGGGATCCAGACAGGAACAAACCTCTTTCACCAGAGACTGCTTTAATATCATGTGTGAGGAATTAAATAACCTATTTCTTTGCTGACAAGAGGCACATAAGCTCTTGATAAAGCACTTCAGAGAAACCTCTGAAGCATAGAGAAGGAGATAAAGCACCCACTTCTCAAATGCCCTTTCACTACTGACTACCAAAATCACCTTAAGTGATTTCTTCGGGTTAAAAACACAATTCCCTCACAAAACTGTAAGGAAGACAACCAAACTCAAAAAACTTCCACATGGCCCTTTGAAATCTCTTTTCATATCTACCTTTCTTGTTCAAAGAAGGTGTAATCAGCCCTTCTGATTATAGAAATAATAATAAATAGAAATAAATAGAAAGGGAGTGTGCTTTGGTGAGAACAGATGTAAAAGGCACTGAAAATATAACACATTATTAGTCAGTACCACTGTAAGACCTAAGGTATGGCTCATGGTATTTAAAAATGGCATTGCTGTACCTGTTGCTGATAAAAACAAATGACAGGGGATCCACTGAATTATTGGTTGGAGTGGCCCAGCAGTCAGTGAGAACCACCTTGAGCTTGCTGTCTGCCCTCTGCATCCCCACTTCAATCAGCACATCCTCACTGGCAGAGACACTGAAATTTCTGGGGATTGGGGAGTTTCCAATAAACAACTGCATTTCTGTTCTGAAGTGTCCAGATCCATGCAAATCCTCAAAGATAGTGTAAAGTCTGAAAAAAAAATCAATTATCCTTCTTCAAAGACCACAGAATTTACTGTAAGATTCTTCAAGTCTTAAATCAGTGCCTGTTTTTGTACATATTTAAACAGTGAAGGGTTATCTGCAGTCCAGGATGGCAGGACTCTGTTCAAAAGGAAAGGTGAAAATGCATTGAGTTTTCAGCTGGGGAGGCAGAGAGCATGGAAACACAAGTGGGAAAATCCAAAGGGTGGTCTCAGCAATTCAAACAGGGCAGAGAGAAACTGCTCTGAGTGGAGCAGAAGGAGAGCAAGACTCTGAAAGCTCAGAATAAGGACAGTAAAATCTTAGTGCAGAAGAGAAGAACCAAAAAAAAAAAAAACTGAGACAGGGAAAATCTGAACAAAAAGTGAAAGGCGTGAGAAAATTATAGAGCTCAAAGAAAAGTGCCCTGACAAAGACTTTGCTGGGGAACAGGAAGGAAAATACAATCTCTGGACAGGGCTAGAAAACAGCAACTGGATTTGATGCCAATAGTTTTAGCATGATGATAGGCAAGAGAGGAGGTGCTCTTGTATGAAGGGGGGACACTCCCCATGAGAGAAAGGTTTCTACTGTCACATCTTCTGTCAGCACAGCCTTGATTCTGTGGAGTGTGGCTCTGATTCCATCTTACTTGAAGGTGGGGCCTTACACAACAAAAAAAGTATTTGCATTATGTATCTTCTGGTTTTTCAAGTTGACCAGAGAAGGATTTGTGGGAGACTAAAAAATGCCATTCTCAGAAGGCACACAGCAATCTGCAGGCCCATGTCAAGTGGGAAGATACACTCTAGATATGTTCCACAAGCAGGAAAATGCTGTTATTGCTACAAGAGATTGCCCAGAAAGGCAATGAGGAATTCTGACTCCTGAAGCAGCAGTTCCCAAAGGTTTATTTTCAGCTGTGGTTTAGCCAGGTAAAGGCCAAGCTTGTTGGATCTACTGGTACATTAGTCAGAGTAGGGGAGAAGCACAGCAGGGATCTCTTTGGTGCCTTGGAGTGGCTACCTAGAACAGAGGCTAGACAGAGTTAGGGAATAAAGTGAGTATTTATTAAAGGCCTTTAACAGATACACCTTGGGCAGTGCAGGAGCCTGGCAGAGGCTACATCCAAGATGGATGATGGTCACGAGTTTTTCAGACAGAAAAATAGTTTGGTCTACTTGTATATCAGAGGTTAATTGTCCAATTACAGCTCCAGGTAATGAAGTCACATTCCCCTGGTTTGCTTCTCCCCCCAGTTCACTTTTGTTTATACTTTTCAGGCCTGAGGTTGTGATGATGACTTTGGTTCTCAATCCTTGGAAGGATCACACTGTGAAGAGATCTTACTAACACTCTCAGAGGAGTTCAGAGTCATACACTAATGCAGTACAGGATCTGAAAAATATAAAAGCTAAAACTTAAGGCATGGTTCTGAGCACAGGATTCCCAGGATGGCAGACTGCTCCCAGTGCTGTCACTGGATACAGCTACAGCCCCTGGGGGTTTTCCCAATGCAGCAGCACTCAGCCACACAGCAGAATTTCAAAGCAGAGAGAGTTGCTCCTCACCCTTCTGCAGTGTACCCAGAGGAAGTCAAGACATGGTTTTGAAACACACAGTGGATGGGACTGGCAATGTTCAAGTGGTGGATGATTCCCTGAGCAGAAGCATCATTCCGAAGGGTGGTTTTCACCACGGTAGTAGTCATGTTCTGCAGCACAGAAAGGAGAGAGCACATCAGCATTTCCAGGGCTGTACAACTTCAGGTGTTTGGGTGTTCCCTGTTCTCCTGACAGCAAAAATCAAACAGATTACACCTCCAGTATCGTTGTTGCTGTACAAACAACAACAAAGAAAACGCACTAGTCTTCCTCCTTTTCCTTTTTGTCATATCATAGAATCATAGACTCATAGAATCATAGAATCATAGAATCAATCATAGAATCATAGAATCATAGAATCATAGAATCATAGAATCAATCATAGAATCATAGAATCATAGAATCACAGAACAGCTTTGGCTGGAAGGGACCTTAAAAATCATCCAGTTCCAAACCCCCTGCCATAGGCAAGGACACCTTCCACTAGACCAGGCTGCCTAGAGACCCTTCCAGCCTGGCCTTGAACACTTGCAGGAATGGGGCAATGATCATTCCTTAGCAATGGTCATTGCTCTAGAAGGGAGTTTCTGTACTTTGGCACGGTCTGAACATAGCCATTGGTTTGGGATCCAAAGAAAGCTATCACTCTTTGTCCCCACTGCTGGTAGCTATTGAAGTATTTGTCAGCATGAGATGATGAAATTGTTTTTAAGAAAAGACAGCTGCAAAGGGGACCCAGCAGAGGCATGGGAAGTGACTATCACTTGAGTTTTGCTGCCTGACCTCAAAGATTCCCCTTCTCTTTGATGCTTCTCATCACACACTGACAGGTAACTTTCCATCACAGGAAGGGGATTTCTTTCTCCCAACAAAGTAATAGACTGTACACCTAGCTAAGGATCTGCCACTGCCTCTCCCCTCCTGAAAGAGAAATAAAGTGCTCCAGAGCTTGTTTGCATTCCTTTGATCAGAGGACTTACAGTCTCAACTTGGGTGCCACAGTGGCTCCAGCCTGCCTGCAGCACAACGTGGGTGCCATTGCTGGTGCTCACATTGCAGCCAGGCTCCCCCAGGAACAGGGAACTCTCTGGGATGGACTCCTGCTGCAAGAATCTCTTCTGGATGGCAAGGACAATCCTCTCAATTTCACAAAACACACTCACTGCTTCTTTAATGGAAACCTCTTGGGTGGGTTTGACAAGGGGGGCTGGAGATGCTGGAGGAGAAACATCAGGAGTTGCCATGGGATCGGTGGTGAGAGGAGCCAGCACCGTGCTGGAGAACCTGGTGTCCACCAGAGCTTTGTGCTCAGCAGGAGAGAAGTCCAGTGAAGCAGGGGAGGAAACATAAGCTGAAGTTTGCGAAGATGTCACAGGTAAAATTGTGCTGTGCACATGTTTCTTATCCATCACTGTTGGTTTCTTATCCATCACTGATGTTTTCTGGCTGAAGGGAAGAGCTGAAGAATGCCAAAAATAAAGGTACTGTTGTAATTTACATGTTCAGATTGGTCTCATCAAGCAAAAGCAAACTCTTAGGAGGAAGCTCACAGTTACTGGCAAGAAACCAGCTTCTTTTGTTCTTTTAACCTGCTCTACTTACTGCCAGAGCTGGGTTTTTTTAGAAAGGAGCCCATGAGACACATAAAGTGCCCATCAGTAAAGCTGAATTGCTTTTATTTCCCAGCAGCTGCAATAATTAGTGTGTTACACATGTACATACAGCTTTTGGAAGATCAGTGTTTGCACAATATCCCCCGCTGGAAGTTGCTCAACAAGTGCTTGTATGTTTTTGCCTGGAGCTGCAGAAGACTGCCAAGTTCTGTCTGAGGCCATAATAAACAGGAGTTTGTTAAAAAAAACAGGCCTCATTTGTGACCAGTTACTACCCAAAAAATGGGACTTTGAGTGAAAACTCATTTTGGGGGATGTGCAGGACAAACCTCATGTGGCAGCCCCATATTGAATGTTTGTCCTGAGAGAGATGAACAAATGTGTCAGTGGCAATCTCTAATGGTTCCAGGAATTAAAAAGGGAAGAACAGGTTCAGATCAATGTGTGTGTCAAACACCCAGCATCCTGCACAGGTCTGGGGTTACACCCTGAGTATTCACCCACCACTGACTGAGAGAGAATCAAGACAATAAATTATATTTGCAGGGAAGCACAATGTGTCTCATCGCACAAAACTTCTCTTAAATAATTTTAGTGGCTTAAATATAAAAATACCCCCTATTTCCCAAGCAATATATAAAATCTGTACACATATATAAATCCTTATGGAAGTGCCCAGCTTCCAGAAATGCTCCAAGTGCAAAAGTCACTGATTTACACAATAGAGGAAGGAACATAAAAGTTGGAGCTCTTCCAGAGCTGGATTTCCCAAAAGCTTATTATCACATTAATATCTTAACTAAGACTGAACAAAGGTTGGTATCAATTGACAAATCATTGTGACTTGTGAAAAAGATGTTCCTTATCATTGTGGTTACAAAACCAAACATGAATTACTGAAGAAGCCTAAGAAAATTTAGGAAATGGAATACCCATCATACAGCAGCTAACAAATGACCTGAAGACAGAGAAAAGCCAGATGAAAATGTAATTTATAATGCCAGCATTTCCTCCCTGCTGCCATACAAAGGTCAAGCCACCCATCAAGTACTTTCTCTATTACCTCTTCCATCACCTCTGCTGCTGCTAATGAAAATCACTAAGAATCTTGACAATCCTGTCTAATTTTTGTGGCAAATATGAGAAAGAGAACTGTTAAAAGAACCTTACAACATTAAATATTAATATAATAACACTCCCACTCCTAAAGTGATAACTGCCCAAGGGGATGCTTTAACCCCAGGGGCCTCCTCAGTTTTTCTCTCTCCCATTTCACAATTCTGAGGAGATGCTGAGTAAATGACCAGCATGAGTGAAGCAGAAGTGTGACTGGTCCAGGTTGCAGTCTATTTGCTGTCTTAATTTTCACCTGGCCAAATTTTTCATTTTTGAGAGAAGAAAACCTACTTTTACTTCTCTTTCTCTTTCCAAAATCTAAGAACCTGAACAAACCAGACCATAGGTGGGACTCAGAAAGCAGCACCAGCCACCTGCTCTATGGGGACCTGTCCCTGAAACAAATCCTTTGTTTTAGCCCAGGTTTGAAGGGGGCAGGTACTCTACAAAGCACTACCACAAGATAGTTCTGATCCTACTAATTACCTGAATATGTAACTTTCCAGATTTACAGCATTGAGTCTAACAGGCAAAAAAAGTATAAAATTATAGAGCAGAGTATAAACATGTTTCTGAAGTAATTTTGCATGAGATTCTAATTGACAGCTCATAACAGCATTCTTTGGACAAATGGATTGTGCCAGGGATACAGTATTTGGCATTTTTTTCAGAGGTGGCTTGTGAAACAGAATTCAGCTGCTCTTGCTCGGGAGATTAATGTTTTTTGTTACTTACTTCGATTGCATATAAAAGAAAGGAAGTTGTAGAATCAGCCATCATGCTGGGCTTGGCAAAGTGTGGGTTTTCACCTGAGCTCCAGACCCACAGGTCTGATGAGGTGAGGAAAACAACTATTCCCTGTGAAAAACTCACATCTTCATTTATTTCTTGGGATTTCTATTTAAGGGAAAAATTATCAGTGCAAAGCAGAGTGTAATGTGATTTTAAATGATTTTAAACAGTGGTAGTTATGGCTGTGCTCAGGGACACATTTCTACTAGTAGCTTATAAATCCCTCAATCCATGACTTCTAAAATCTCTTTACCTTTTTCCTCTGTAAAACTGATTCTAGATATTGTCAAAAAGAGCAGTTGGTTTTGTCCTTTTGGATCAGTGGTGCTTCACCTGCTATATGTCATCTGTGGGTGTTCTCAGAAAAACTTACTGGATGGATAAGCAGGAGCAATATAAGGAGAGAAAAAGGCTTTTCATCCAAGTGTTTTACAGATATTTTCACCTCAGAAGACACAGATTAATAATAACTTTTATCATCTGTCTGGTTCTGAAGAATTACTGTGGCACAAGCTGCTCCTCACCATGTATGGAGAGGTTGTTCCTGTCCATGGTGAAGTAGGAGCTGTGTTCCAAGGCTTCACAAAAAGTGGTGATGACATGGTGGACATCCACTTCTTCTGCAAGCAGCAGATTGAAATTTAGCACTGTGCTCCCATTAGTAACACCCGTTACCAGCACTTTAATCAGACCAGCATCCATCTGCTGGAGCACCTCAAGGGGCAGAGATTTATGCACCTGGAATAAAAACAAAATGTATGTGAGGATAGGCAGATGGAGCAATTACATTCCAGGCTGTGTACACTGCTCAGAAATGAGTGTTGTGCTTCCTGCTCTGGAGGGCAGCAGCAGAAAATTGACCTTTTGCTTTGTAACATTTTCATTCCAGAGCAGCTGAAGGATGTGGTGCATATTTAACCATGAATATTAAACAAGCCAAGTGATTAAGATATCTCATCTGTCATTTGGCACAAGACCTTACCTCTGGCAACAAAAAGGGAGGGAGGAGGCTGCAGGGAAGCTCCCGTGTTCTGCATCTCAAAATGCCTCTGGGGAGAGAAGCAATCCAATAGAAGGAATTGCTGGTGGAAGTGAAGGTGCTCCTGACACTCCACACTGCCTCAGAGGGCTCTCTCAGCCCAAGAACAATACAACTTGGAGCAGGCAACCTTCAAGCTTTGCTTTACAGCTGATTTCTCACCAGAGCCAAGCAAAACCCACCTCTTTCTAAATTCCCAGCCCAAGGTAATAAGGGGCCAGGTGGGAGCTACACTGTGGCCACCTCCAATTGCTTCTTCCTCTCCCTGATTTGTGCAGGAAATATCTGGAGCAGCAGGGCTGGATTTCAGCCATGAGTTGAAGGCACAGTTTATTGCAGTGTGTAATGCTCGGGGATGCCAGCAGTGATTCCCACCAGGAAGAGCCCAGGGAAGAGGCAAGCGCTGGGAGCCACCAGGAGAAGCAGCCTTGTTTGTCTCACACCCACTCACTGAGCTGGTGCATTTAGTGCTGCATTCTCACAGCTTCTGCACTGCCTTGTGCCCTGCCTGCTGCACATTGCCCAGCCCTGGCTTCCCCTCTGTCTGTTATCCTGCAGCCAGCCCCAGGATCTGCAGGTGCCCTGCAGCCCTCTCCTGAGTCACCAGAGCTGATGTGTTCTCCTGCTGGGTGCCAGGGCAGCGTGGCACAGAGCAAACCCCCTGTGTGCCCCTGGAAACAGCTCCTGTGGGCCTGCAGGTCCCACACAGCAAACCTTGGAGTGCCCCACGGAGCACTCAGGTAGAGCTGGGAGGATGGAGACAGCTGGCTCCCCTCTAAAAACCTGGGCAGAATATAAATTGTCCTTGTCAGATCCTAAATCTCCCATTTCACCAAGACAGGGCCTCTTTGGCTCCTTCTGCTCTCTCTTTCTGCTGTTTCACAAGCAGGTACTGAAAAGCTGGAGGTCAGACCTAAGTTTTAAGCTTTCATAATTTTGTCTAAACTTCTCAACATTAAACACAGACACCTGTGACATCCTCTTAGCCCACCCTGTTCTCATCCTCTTTCCCTATCTGATAATTTTATTGTTTTAGTTCTTCTTTTTCACAGAATCCCAGAATCACTGAAGTTGGAAGAGATCTCCAAGATCATCAAGTCCAACCTGTGACCAATCCCCACCTTGTCCCCAGCCCAGAGCACAGAGTGCCACGTCCAGCCCTTCCTTGGACACCTCCAGGGATGGGCACTGCAAAGCTCCCTGGGCAGCCCCTGCCAAGGCCTGAGCTCCCTTTCTGTGCAGAAATTCCTCCTGGTGTCCAACCTGAACCTCCCCTGGCATAGCTTGAGAAATTTCCTCTTGTCCTGTCCCTTGTTCCCTGTGAGCAGAGCCTGACCCCCACCTGGCTACAGTGTTTGTTTGTTTGTTCCTGTTTTGTTTCTGTCCTTATTCCAATTTTCCTCCCAAAGCAGGACCCAGAGCTCGAATAGTGTCAGGGCACATTCACAGTATTTGTGTTTGGCCACTAGGTGACACTACAAAACCCTTTATCCGAGAGATTCCAGGATTTCCCAACAGGTGCCACACCCTGGGTTATCAAAATAACGCTTGATGAAACAAGGCTAGGAAAAAAAAAAGGGGAGGGGGCGAGGGGAACTCGAGGGGAATTTTTTTAAAATAAATAGTTAATATATAACACTCTTGAATATGGAGAGTTCTTACAAGAGAAATTATTTTCAGGTCTGTCATTGTATCTGCAATTTCTGTAGCACACAAAGGAAACCTAAGCAGGGAATGCACTGACAGTCTGGAAACTGGGAATAAGTAAGGAAAAGGTACAGCAATTTGAACAGAATATTGTTTGAAGACTCACTCAGAGAGAGAAAAAACCAAAATCCTTCCCCACTGTCTGTGGTTCAGAGAGAGAAAAAACCAAAATCCTTCCCCACTGTCTGTGGTTCGGCCGCACCTTCAGGGAGAAGGTACCAGAGCACAGATGTGCCCAGGCACCAGCACCAGCAGCTTCCAGGATGTGAAGGGGAATAAACACAACAAAAGGGTGAAATGACACTGGAATAGTGGAAATTCCTTATTCCCTCTTCCTACGCTCATTCCACATCCATATAACTCCAACTACAGTCGTTTAGGTGCAATCAGCTACACACACAGGCTATGTGCCTTCCAAATGAGGCGGTCACCTTCTTAAGGCATTAGCATTTCATACTTTCACACCTTTTGTCACTCAGCTAAGTTTAAGACACCCAAATTCAAAACAAGCTTTCTGCTTGGGAATTTACTGCACCTCAGTGAATGTATTTTCAACTCAAACCGTTTGCTTTCCCAACTGATTTTCTTGAGGACAAGCCATGATATCATTCTTGGGGTGTTGAAAAGCACAAGCTGAACAAACCCCAAGATTTAAATACTTTTTTAACTTTAGCTATGTTGTTTTTAAGTTGCATTACAAGAAATGTGGTGGAAGTGACCTGGACAATGACAGTGCAGGTTGTCACATCAGGTTTTTCCCTCCTTTTCATTATTTAAAGGATGATATTTCCATTTGCTGTGCTGCCAATTTAACCACATGGCACTTAAGTGCTAAGCCTAAAGAACATTATACACATTAGGTTTTATAAATCCTCTAAATTGTAGATTGTGACTCCAAAGAGGTTTAAAAAAAAAATCTCTGGCAAACTGTATTTAACTGGAACCTGAGAGTGCTTTTAAAGCTCATAAAACTTCCCTCATTTACTTTAAAAGATCCATTTCTGGTCCTCATAACCTGAAAGGAAAATATACAGATCTTTCTGGTCTCCTAAATTTTCTTTGGCATTTAGAAATACAATATTTGTAATATTATTTAGAGCAGCTATGCAATTATACCCATTTACAGTGGCTCAGAGGTGGAAGGAATCAGCACTAACTCATCTTTCCACCTGATCCACAAAACCAGAGTGATGGAAAAAGGAATTAGCTCCTTATAATCACAAGTGATCATTTTCTGCCCTGAAATTTGAGACCCGTGTAAAACTGACACAAAACTTCATTTTGTTCCTTTATGCAACCATTTTACAATTTTTCTTAAATATATTTATACCAATGATTTTCTGGACTGAGCTGACTGAATGAAGCAACTACTTTAATTTCAGTCCATTTCCATACTGTGCTGTTCTGAGATAGCCTCGGGCAGAGCGTGGTGCTGAATGAGAGGGAGGTCAGTGGGGAATTGCTCCCTTTTCACTTTGCTAATCACATCACTCTCGTTTTGTCACAGCTTTTCTGATGTGACAGCTTAGGGCCAAAACAGCTCCAGGAAAACTGTGCTCTGCTAGCAAACCCAGGAAGGTGCAAACCCTTGTGAGCAGTGGGAAACTGATTTGATGTCCAAGAAGGATGAATGGATCACCCTCTCCCCTCCCTGCAGCTGTCTGTGAGCCCAGGCTGGCCTGGTCTGTGCCCAGTGACAGCTGTGTTCCAGTGGCTCCTCTGTCCCCTGGAAGTCTTGGGAGGCCTCTACAGGATTTGAAAATCCATCAAATTGCCAGTGATGGATTTATCACCACATTTATCAAGGCCTCTGGAGACACAGTGGAGGGGAGATCAGGCAGGCAAGAAAACAGCCCAGTGTAACCAGTGGTTTTCCAGGCATGGGTGTGTTTGAGGGAGCATCAGAAGGAACAAACTTCTGACACATTCACTGCAATATTTGATACTGTCAAAGGCAATGCCTGAGAATCCTGAGAGGGTTAAAGGCACAGCAGATATCATGTTGTGCTTTGATATCCTGCACTCTAATTAGAAGTGAGGGCAGAGGTGACTTTTCAAGAAACCACTCCCTTTCCAGATATGGGGCTACAAAATCCAGAGTGATTACAAGAACTGTCAGCCTTGAGCTACTGCTACAAAGGACAATAACAATCATACAGCTAATTAGGATAGGGCTGTTCAGGGCAAGGGTGTCAGAACACTGCATTAGTTCCATTAACTTTCCACCACACCCCTGGGGGAGATCAATAATTCAGTATAACCAGGTATGAGAAGGAGAGGACATGGAGGTACCAGACAACCCCAAAATCCTGATCTCCCTCTAAAACACAGCTGCACACTTACCCTGCAGCCTCAGGCAGTCAGGGGGAGCCAAACCTTACAGATGTGTCAAGGGACACACATGAGTTATTCAGGCTTTGGGGGATAAAGACCATACACAGGGTTTTATTGAGACAGGTAACAAGCCACATCCTTCTTCAGCACTTACTTCATCAACAAAGAGCTGTGCAAAGGTTTCCTCACTGCTTGTATTGCTAAAGCCTGGAGAGTATTCCATGTTTGTTATCCAAACTGTGCCACTAAGTTTCTGGAAGGCTGCAAGGTAAGAAAAAAGACAATTTCTATGTGTGTTTTATGGACTACAGTCCATGGACAGATGTGTCAGTGTCCAGCATTCCTGGCCATGTGCATAAACTCATAGCAGCAGAGGGCCAGCCCTCTGAAATGTAGCCCAAACCCCAAAAGTCTAAAAATAAGTCATCCAGCATCTTAGTCTGCCCTGTCTGAGCCCCAGATGATTCTCAAGAAAGGCACTGACCTCCTGTATGTCCCATATCTGGGACTGTTGCTCAGTTCAGGCACCGGAATTGCTCTCCCAGGCTCAGCTGGTTGCCCCACCAGTCTCTCCAGAGGAAAACCAAATCCTCTCTGCAGCCTCAGAGGAAGTCTGGGCAGCTGCCTGAGCTTAGACATCTACACTTTGGACAGCTGGGGTGGAATGAGATGAACCCCAACAGGGTGCACACATCCCCCCTAGTTCACATCTGCTGAATGACATGAAGGCAGACTCAAACATTTTAGTTTATTTCCTGATTTCTCCATTTTTCCCAGCATCTCTGGGTTTGGCATTGTTACTACAGACACTGAAGTGATCAGAGATCAGACAAAGGGCTTCTCAAGGCATTGTTTGTGCCCCTGGCATCCATTTAGCAATGACTGCAATCATCCAATGTTGTGACCATTGCCAGCAAATTGCCTTCACTCTGCCCCCAGCTCCCAACAAATCATCACTCCTGGCACAGCAAAATCTAATGTTTCAATGGTTTATATAAATACAGGATAGACTTCACCAAAAACTTCAAGAATTTTATCATCTGGGAAAGGATTCGATTTAAAATTCTAAATTAAGTTACCAGTCTTAATTTTCTGGTGTAGCAACCTGCTCTCCTCCCTGCACACACCAGACTGCACCTCCACAGGGTATCAGGCACCAGGTTCCAGCTCTGAGACTCTCAGACTCCTATATTCCATTTTAATCTGCCATTTTAGCTGCTTTCTTTGAAACAGAAGGAATTATAAAGCTCTGCATAAACTCTGTGGGCCACTTACATCCAGGTTCTACTCACATTGGGAAAATAATCACTTGAACTAGGACAGGTACTGGAGGAAAAGAAATAGTAATCAGGTCAAGCTTTACAGGGGAGGGGAGAAATGCCTGCTTGAAGCAGGCCACTGGAGGAGGGTTCCTTTATCCCAGCATAATTCTGATCCCAAAGGAATCCTCACCACTGACAGTCAGATCAAAGGATTTGGGCTTGCATGGCTTTTTTGCCATGGCATGTGAGCACAGCTATTTAGGGGATAAAACACATTCAGTTGTCTCAGAGAGGGGAAAATGTTCTGAACAATTCTCAAATAATAATAATAAAATACCCCCTGGTGTTTAAAAGACTAAGAAGAGCTGGCTGAGGTTGAGCCTCCAGGTCAGAGATGAGGCCACAAGGAGGAGCTGCATATGAAATTTCACCAAACATGGGCTTTTGCCCTCTGAATTTCTTGCCCTGGGCTAATGAGATCCAATCTGGTGGTTCTTGCTTTTATTCCTTAGGCATAAGCCCTTCACAAGCTTCTTTCCCTGCAAAAGCACTTGGCTGAATATTTGATTTATCAGGAATATAAACCAAGTTTTTATAAACTGAACTTTTTTTTGCTTAAAATTCTTCAGGGTTTTTTTTTTCCAGCTGGGAACAGCCTTTATGGGACTTTTTGTCAGTTAGAATTAGCTATTTTTATACTTTAAAAATAATCTTTGTTTTCATTAAATAAAAAAAACAAAACAAACATATTTTTCAAGAGGAGAGAAGACAGCAGCTGAACAGGGTATTGGCACAGCTGCCCAAGGCAGGGCAGGATGGCAGGAGGGGACACGTGGTGGGCAGCCCTGGGGGGACAAGAGAGGCTGGAGAAGCAGCAGAACTGGCCTTACATGGCTGAAAAAGGCATTTTCCAGGGAGAAAGGAGTGAGGAAGCACCAGAAGTGGGGTTGGATGAGTGGAGACCACCAGGAATGTGAGATCACAGGGGAGGGGGAGATAAAAGAGCAGAGGGAAGTGTGGCTTGGGATCAGAGAGATGTGGAGGGCACAAGAGACAGAATAAAGACAAGCAGAATCAAAACTGAAACAGCCAAATAGTGACACACTACAAAAAAAAAAAAAAAAAAAAAATACCATTTAGTATTGGGCAGAGACTGCAGCATTCCTATCCCAAACAAAACTGTCATTTTAAGACCTGACTCTCTAAAACATGATTCAGCTCCAATCAACAGAAAAATCCCCTAATTAGCTGCAACACATCTGCCCAAACCCAAACAGATGAAACATTTGCCAGCCTTGTTGCTCTCAATTACAGCTCTTGAGGCAGTGTCTCTCAGGTTTCCAGGCAGCTCCTGCCTCACAGGGGATTTGTGGAGGACTCTGACTAAACATCCTCTGCTGAGAGGAAGGGGAAGGCAGGTCCTTTTCCTCCCCAGCTCCCTAAATTAACTCCATAGCCAGCTGCTGCTGCCGTGTCCTGGTGCCGGAGGCTGCAGGAAAAACAGGGATATGTGGCAAAAGGACAAGCAGCAAATATTGCCATGAGCCACACTCAGTGCACTCTTTTATGTGCTTCCTCCTCTTGGAGCTGAAGAAATGTAACATCAATAAAAGCAACTGCTGAATTGCCAGGAAGAGGAATCGTTTTCACAAGCTGATTTAGCAAAAGGGAAAGTGCCAATTCCTGCAGAAAACATTATTGATATAGAAAAATAAATTTGCAGGCACCAAGAAAATAATTTTGACGTTGGAAAACCAGCTCTAGATGCCTTTTTGTGAATTCTGAGCGAGGCTTTGCGTCTCCCCCCAGTGAATTCCCACACGTGCAGATCCCGTGGGATGCGTACTCACTGCGGAACGGGCTGGGGGCTGGAGAGGAGCCTGGCAAAGCTGGTGACCCCAAGGCTGCAGTGGACCAAGAGCTGTTCTCCGTGCCCTGCTCTCCATCTGCTCGGAGGGTGGCGATGGCAGCGCTGCCTGTGGCCAGCAGGGCGGTGCCAGGGCCACCTCGGGGCACGGCAGCAGCCGTACGAGCGCGGCTGGCACCTGAGGCTGTTCGGTTTGGGAGCAGCCAAACTGCAGCGAGCTGCTCTGGCCCCGCCGTGCCCCTGGGGCTGTTTGGGACAGCAGCCGTGGTCACGGAGCTTTCCCGTGATGGACTTGTGGCTCCTGTGCCCATGGGCAGGGCCCTGCTGGCCGTGGGGCTGCTGCCCCTGCTGAAACCCATCTGTGGGGCCAGGCCTTTTTGCCAAGGGGTTGGAGGAGCACTGGTGGGACCTTGGGACGCTTGTTTGTCACCCAGGGCCAGCGCGGCAGGGAGGAGTGTGGCGGAGCTTGACGCAGAGCCTGCAGCCGCCATTGTCTCGGTTGTGGCAGCGGAAGCAGGGCCTGCAGGGCTTCCTTCTTCAAGGGCAAAGTCCCTGCTGTTTCTTGTTTCAGAAGCCGTGGTTTCAGTGAGAGGATCCACAATCTCACCTGCAACACAGTAAACACATCCTGAAATGGGGCCTGAAACGGGATGAGGAGGCACCGGGGCCTGGCCTGAAAATGGCACCGAGGCCTGGCCTGAAAAGGGCACCGAGGCCTGGCCTGAAAATGGCACCAAGGCCCCTCAACCGCCCATGGCAGCATTATAGAAACAGGTCCTGGATATTCACAAACACTTTGTAGAACACGTGATTTTTCTGGGGTTGAATCTGGTTTGTGTCAGAAGCAGATTTGATTCTTGGGTCTCCTGTTCTGGTTGGCAAGGCTATGGATCAACTCAATGGGAGGAAACTAGCCACAGACATAGCAAAAGAGGGAAAAGTACTCCTTGCAGTTATCAAGGAGGATCTCAGAGAGATTGCATCTGAATCTATTTATTTATTTATTTATAATATATATATATGTATATATATATATGTATATATATATATATATGTGTATTTAGAGACAGGTCATATATACCCCTCCAGCCACAGACTGCAAAGGTGCAATTATATGAACAGGTGCTATAAAAGCAGATGTAAAACACCACGATTTATTCCAATGTTTCATGGCAAAAAAAAAAAAAATCCTACTTGCCAGACTTTTTCTCACCCTCACAGTTTCTTCCAGGTCGGGATGGATTGGTATCCATGGTTGTCTTGCACTTGCAGGTGTAGGATCCCATCAAATTGATACACTCTGCAAACACAGAGCAGTCATTCTCAGCTTGGGAAGCACATTCATCCCAGTCTGTGGGACGAAAACAAGAACAAAGGTCAGAGAGCCTCCCTGCTGGCTGCATTTAGCTAGAAATAATGATTAAGTAGTCATTTTTTAATTTACTTATGCGGTCTTCCTTTTTATCATTTACCATCAGCCAAGCTCTGAGTGATGCAGAACGCTATCTCTTTTGTTATTCTCTCGTTCTTGTACTCTGAAAAGTATTTTCTCTGAGTAAAGGCTTTTAAAATAATTGTTTTTAGAGGTAAACACATTTAAAGTGAAAAAATGCTGTAGGTTTGTACTACAGTTATATCAAAATCACTCACTATACCAAGTTCTGTGTACAGCACTTCCAGATGTATCAGGTAATTAATATATGTTACCACTAGCTACCAGTAGATACAACATTAAATAGAGACTTAAACCAAATAATCTTCTGCTTCAAATAAAAAGTAAATGCTAGTAGCTCCCACGGGAAGCACTATTCTGTTCTTAACAGAGGAAGTGCTAAAGGCAAAATCTCTTTTTATACAATTTTTCTTCTCAAAAGTAATACTGTAAAACTGTGACCCTCTTTCTGGTAGTGTCAGAAAAGACATCCTGATTCATCAATGCATGAAGATGCTCTAAGGGTGTTCCTTATGTCTGATTTCAGCTGCTCTGAATGAGTTAGAGATGCCTTTTCATGCAATTACAGACCTATGTTACTGCTGAGTCTCTTCTCTTTTGAGGGATTTATATCTGGAGTCTTATGCTGCCATTCACACCCTGTTCCAGCAAATCTGCAAGGGCTGAGTTAGTCCTTTGGACAGGAATAATTCCAGTGTATCCCAGGTGAGGCTTCCCTGTGTGACTGCCTCTGTGCTCACCTTCACTGCCTCAGGGACCTCAGAGAGGGAGAGCAGCAAATGAGGCTAAAAACTGGGTCTTGGGACAAATAGTCCTGATCAGAGGGTAGAAAATTGTTTTGAATAACAAATTAACATTAGTGCTTGTTCTGCAAACCTGCAGATTAATGATGGTGATTATTTCTCTGAAACAAAGGAATATCCCATTCCATGTACATGCACATACATGCACTCATCTTTCTGCTTGCTTTTCCTTCCTTCTAGCTAATATTTCAATTCTTTCTGTTTTAATAATTCAATTATTTTTACTTTTTTTGTCATTTTGGATAATTGCTGTGTCCATGATAGTTTCCATTAGATAATTTCATGTTCCTGTGGCCAGCCTATTATGTTCCAGCCTAAGCCACTTAGAGGGAATGCAGAAGTGTGCAGGATTGACTGAACACCAGAGATGAAATCCTGTTAATTCCTAACTGTGCTATGAAATAATTGTGACCCTTGGTGGCTTCCAACACCATCCCAGAAATGCTAATTGCCAAATCACTTACATTCACTGCCTCCATTGTCTCTGAGGGTTTCCTTTCCCCTCACTTTGCACGGCTTTTTAAGCAAATTCCTTCACCTCTGATGGCCACATTCAATCATGCATCGGGTCAGAACACTGGCACTGGCTGCTGCATCACTTGTGCACATCCACACACAGCACTTTTTTCCTCTCTAAATCATCACTTCTCAGCCGAGGTCTGCTCTGAGCTCTCTTTCTGTACTCCTGGCACCTCTCTGGCCCTTCACATTTGGCACTTCCCTCCACACACCTCAACCAACAGTCCCAGTCCAAAAATGATTAAAAAGCCACCTTTGTGTTCACCCTGATTACCTATTATACACCTGTAAGGGGTACATGCAAAGGGTAAAAATCTGTGAAACTCCTTGCCAAATGATGTTGCAGATGATAAAGATTTATCTGATTTGATGGGGGAGATTCATGGGGGATAAACAAACCCTAAGAAATCCATCTGGATTCAGGGAGTCCTGGAGCTGAAAAAAATTGTTGGCTAGGAGATTATTAGTGGGAGGTGATGCCTTCTCCAGGAATTGGTTCCTGGCTGCTACTGAGGCAGTGACATTGTGCTAGAAGGATCTTGTGCCTGATTCAGCACACATCCCTTTCTCTTCTCTTACCATGTCTCACAAACAGATTTTATTGTCTATTCATCATGGCAATAAACTTAATAATTTATGGATCTTCGAAGAGATCTGGTCCAGTCCCTTCCGTTGTGCTGTCCCTTCTGACTTCTCATCCCTGCTTTTCACAGTTGAATGGACTTTCACTAAACCAAGCACAAAGCCTGGTGGTGGCCAGGCTGCAGGGAGGATCCAGGGGACAGGATCTGGGTGGGTTTATTGCAAAGGTCATGTCCTGGGGCTCTCTGGGGTCAGGAAGCACAACACCCCATTATACAAATCCTTTCTTCGTGTGTTTCACTCCTTATTTTCCACTTAGGAGACTCATGTTGAAGAAACTCTTCTTTGGGTAGAGCTAAGAAATAAACCCCTTTTCTCAGCCCCTAAGGAGGGGTGGAGGTGTTGGCTGTGCCCCTGGATGAGTATGGTGCTACTGGAAGCCACCTGGTTTTGTGCAGCTGAAGTGACTATCCAGAGCTATCACCTTCTTCTTCCTCAGCCTTTTGGTCCCAGGATCAATAACATTTACAAAGTATTTTGGCACACATCAGTCTCAGCTTCTACTGTGATATTTGTAGGCTTTGAGTGCAATTTGTCTCCTGTCTTTTTCCTGACCTGTTCTCCTTAACCTCCATATGCTCCACAGCTGCAAAGGGAGTTTTTCCTGCTCTGAAAGGCTCAATACAACAAGAGAGAAGAATAACCCATTCTGTTGGCTTTGGCAACTTTTTGAACTCTGTTGTCTCTGCCAGCTGGGAAACCTGAGGACAGAACTCAGTCCTTTGAAGATAAAAGTGGTGATTACTGAAGATTAAACAAAGGCCTGGTTTAACATAAATTCCATGCACGTTTCTTCCATCCTATTCACAACAAGGACATTTGGGAATTCCTCTGGCTGGGCTTCCAGACTGAAGATGTTAAATTTCTTAAACCTTGTCCCAAATACATTCCCCCAGTCTTGGAGCACAAAACTGTCTAGAGGGCTTGTGTATCTAAAGGCTGCAGATATTCCACAGTGATCCTGTCTGCCATTCAGCTGGAGAAAGATGTGGCAAACTTCCAGTTGGGGACAGAGAGGAGAGAGAGGAAAATGAACAGGGAAACCAAGGGCTCCACTTGGGTTAAACACAGTGAGGAGAAGCAGTGCCTGCAGGTACCTGGGGACAGCCAGCACTCCTTTGTCTGACACTTCTGGGCTTATGGATAAAACCCCTGAAAGAATTCTCACATGATGGTTTTCTCTTCAACAAACCACATCCTTTGTTTTTTTTGTGAAGAATATTGGTGATTCTGCACGTGATCAAAACACAAATACTGCTCTCTTCTTTGAAAAAATAAAATTACCTTCTACTGCAGTGTTTTGCTGATCCACCACAAGCACAGAGCCATTGTGCAGGTAGGAAAGCACTGGGGTAAATGTGGAGGCATCCACTGGAAACTCGGGATCCTGCACGGTGATTCTGAGCCTCACAATGATGCTCCCTGCTGCCAGGGATTCAATCTGCACTTTCAGCTTCCCAGATTTGTATAAGGCAGAAATGTTAGGTGGAAATGAATTTTCAAGCTGAGCAATGGGAGAGAAGCACTGACAATTAGGGAGCCAACAGGTACCTCTTTAAGTATTTATATAAGCACAAGATAGAAGATGCTGTGAAAAGAAAAGTTCCAAAGTATTTAATACATCTTATTTTTCAGTAATTATTTTGGCACAAAGTAATGTGAGTGTCTTTGCAACCTTGCTGAGAAGGACTTGGGGGTGCTGGTGGATGAGAGGCTGGACATGCCCTGGCTGTGTGCACTGGGACCCAGAAACTCTCTGTGTGCTGGGCTTCACCAAAATCAGTGTGGGCAGCAGGAGAGGGGGGAATTCTGCCCCTTCAGGTGAGACCCCACCTGCAGCACTGCCCCAGCCCTGGGGTTCAGCACAGGGAGCACCTGGAGCTGCTGGAGAGAGCCCAGAGGAGGCTCCAGGATCAGAGCAGCTCTGCTGGCAGGAAAGGCTGAGAGAACTGGGATTGTTCAGCCTGGAAAGCAGAAGGCTCTGGGGAGACTTAATTGTGACTTTCCAGTACCTGAAGGGAACTGACTGGAAAGATGAGGCAAGAGTTTTTACAAGGGCCTGCAGTGACAGGACAAGGGGGAATGGCTTCAGACTGACAAAGTTAAATTCAATATTAGGGAAAACTTCTTCATTGTGAGGGTGGTGAAGCCCTGCACAGGCTGCCCAGAAAAGCTGTGGATGTCTCATCCCTGGAAGTATCCAAGGCCACTTTGTAAACTGAAACCATCTGACCACTGGTCTTAAAAATCAAGTTCTAAATTTTGGCTCAAGGGAGCAGAATTCCCCCTGGCCCTGGCTGAACTGTCCAGGTAAGTGCATGCAGCAGAGCATTGATGCTATCTCTGTATGTCACACATGCATTTTGTTAGCTGAGTCCAATAACAAAGAAACCTCAGGATGAGAGACAAGAAAAAATGGGGGTGGATAACTTCAAAAAACATGTTTGAGACAGCCCAGCTTCAAGGCAATATCACAATTACATCATGGTTAATTCCCAAACCAGTGAGCAGTCACTTCAGCTGAACTAATGGCATTACTCTGACCATTGAAGCTGGCACAGTGCTGTCAGTATTTGAGCTGTGCAGGAGCTGGCAGTTTTACCTTACATGTCTAGAAGGCAGCTCTTGCTTGAGCCTTTTGTTCCTGCAGACACCTCAAAGCATGCCTTTGAGCACGAACTGCAGAGCCATAAATCAGCACAGCTTTGTTCCCATTCAGTCAGAGCTTGCTCAGAAAGATTCCTACAAACAAGCTGTTTAGCTGGTCTAAGCTCACATCAGGGTAGAGAGGCAAGAAAATGAGAAGAAACCCTCTCAGGGGGATGTTATGCTCACAAACACCCAAGGAGGCAAAAGCAACATAGATGGGCAATGCTCCTTTTTCTTCCCACCCCGATGAAGCCAATCAGCTCTGAATTAATCACAGAGAAGACTCATTCACCAGAATCTTCCTGCACAACAAAAGTGAACAGTTTGTAACTGTGGGAAATAAAACCATGTGAGGAGGTTCAACTAGCAATTTCTGTTGGGCAAATGCCTCTTCTCTGCTGCCCTTGAACTTACAGCTCCATTATTGTTTTGGGTTTTTCTCTTGCATTTAAATTCACACATGATTATGAGTCAACCTTTGTTTTGGGGAAGCCTTGTTTCGGATGGAGATCCCAATTCCTCTGTAAAGGCCCTGTTCTGTGCAGCAAAACTGAAGGAGATTGCTCCATATGAAACCTCCCCCTTTTTTTGGGAAGCTGAGGGCTGGCACCAGACTTGATGACTCAAGTTTTGTTTCTGGCTGCTTGCACCTGCCTGTGGACAGTGACCACATGTGTGCAGGCAAGGAATGAGGCTGGAGAAGAAAGCCTGATACCTTTCCTGAAAGAAGAGCTTTGAGAGGAGAAAGACATTTATTAAGCAGGCTGTGCTGAAATGAATGCCAGGAATGCCATTTCAATAATCCGTTAAAAGGCTCAAGTTAATTTACTTTGCATTTATTGCCAAATTAAAGATCCAAGGAGAGGAGCCCCTGTTGCATGCCTGCATTTCTAATTCCTTCACTCTTCTGTAGGGGAAAATTCTCACTGGCTTCATTGCTAACAAGGCCAAGGGCTTGATCTGTCTAGTCAGTTGAATTTTGTTGTAATTATAAAGAAAGGTCACAGGAAATAGTATGCTAATTTTGAAGGAATACTTCACCCAGGCATAAAATTCTCTATTAGATTAAATAAATTTGAAAAAAATATATATATTACCCAGAGATATAGTAAGTTTACCTCTGTAAGCAGCAGTCTTGAAAATTCCCCATATGCTGAGCTGCTGGAATTATGGAAATCATCAGTGAAGTTGTAGTTGAGAATCCTCATAGTAACATCAAATATCTTGGCCTCTGTAGGACACAACATTAAAACACTGACAAAGTAGGAAAGGATTCAGCTAAAATTGATGTACCTGGACCAAAATCTCAGCTGATGGAAGAAAGGAGGACAAGATTGAGAGAGTTTGGTATGAAATCAAAAACATAAAGCCAATAGGCTCCCGCAAGCTTTTGATACATTGAGAAGATGCACTTCTGTCGTGTCTAAAGAGATATTTTGGTGCCTAATTGCAACTGCATGAGAACAGGGTGTACATATACTTTATGTGTGGGTTTACACATACCTGGGCCTGGCCCTACATAACTCCTGCCTTGAAGTTACACCCAGGGTAGAATTGCCCGTGGGCTCATCTCTGTCCCACCAGTATTTATTTATTTTCCTGATCTTGGTAGTGGGGATAGTAAATATATTCTTAAACTGAAAATACAACAAAAAGCTGTGCATGCCCCTTGTGTGTGAGCCCTGACAGATACTGTACAGAGCACAGGAGCCAAAACCAAGAGCCAAGGAATCTCTAACTGCTTTGTCCTGTATAAACACTCCATGGCTGTTACTCCTTGGACTGATCCTTGGAAAACTTTTCTTTTTCTCAAGGGCTCCAGCTCTATACTTTGAAGTTCAGCCCTCCCTTTTCATAACCACTAGACCTCTTACTTTCCCTCCACAAAGAGAGTAATTTCCTTCTGACCCAAACTGGAGTCATCCCTCATCTCATCAAAGGGAAGGCTCTTAGGGATAAACATGAACAGCAGCATTCCCTCCGTGGTCAGTAATAAATAGTTCACTGCCTGCTCTTTGAGAAAAGGAGGAGAGATTTGTTTCCTTGTTTGTATGGAGGCTTAGGAAATAATTTAAGACTAGAGAAGAAGCAAAATTATGTTTGATCAACACACTAGGGCCTCAGGAAGCTCCCACCACCAGTTAATTGAACAGAACTGGGCAGGTAGTCTGCAGCTTTCTTACTCAATCTGTGTAATTCTCTTTAATCCTTTATTCAGCAGAATCTGCCCTTCCTCTGGGCACTCTTGTTAGCTCAGCTGAGCCCTTGACAAACCAGTTGCCTGGATTTCCCACTGGCCACAGACATCAACCAGGAAAAAATGAGGCCTTCTGGGAGATGGGTGACAGCAGAAAGGAGTGCCAGGCACCAAAGAAATATTCTTTTAAAAAATATAATTATAGCTTAGCCTGATATCTGTAATAGTCTGATCAGCTCCAGCACTGCTTTATCAGCTAAGGATAAAGTTCTGCTGTTTGATACTCTGGGTTGGATAAATGCTGGAGTAGGTGAGATAAAAAGTGCTGAAGAAGGTGGGAAATGCTGTTCAGTGTGTACCAAAGGATCATTGCTGAACTGCAAGTGAGTGGGGATGGAAGGAGGAGAAGGGAGAAGATAGAGATATACTATATTATATATACGTATTTTAAAGTGTTTCTTTACCTGTTTTAACATTTTGATGGGAGATAACGATTTTCCCACAAGTTTCATAGCTGATCTCTACTGAATACATCACACCTGCTTCCAGGTGAGCCACATCCATGTGCATTTCCTCTGTCTGCAGGTTTTGCACAGTTTCATTGCCCTTGGACACCCGGACTTGGAAAGTGTGGTTCAGAGTGGGAATGACAAGCCAGGACATTTCAAAGCTGTTGCTGGTAACGCTGAGGATTCGATGGTTTGTGACTGCAGAGGGATCTGTTGCAGTCCCAGGAAGAGTTGACATGGAAAAAGCAACATTTCACTTTTAAAGCCTTATGCTGTTCTAAATCCACTACAGACAAGCACTTTGACAGTCAATAGGGTAGGGTTCTCTTTTTGTCAGGACAGAATCTGCCCCTCTCACACTAGCAGATCCCCTCATCTATGAACCATCCCACTGGGGTGACTGGTTTAGTGTTTAACCTTTTTATTTCCCTTTACTATATGCATTTCTGTTGAATAATAGAATTACAGAATAGTTTGGGCTGGAAAGAACCTTAAAGATCATCCAGTTCCACCCCCTGCCATGGGCAGGGACACCTTCCACTGGAGCAGGCTGCTCAGAGCCCCATCCCACCTGGCCTTGGACACTTCCAGGGATGAGGCAGCCACAATTCCTCTGGAAAACCTAATCTCCTCCAAATCTCCACTCACATAAACAATCAGCCAGTGAGCTACAGGTACAAGCAACAGGACTAAGTTTGGAACAGTCACTCTGGGCACTCTACATGTGTTGACACCTGCTTCACCTCCTGTCATTTTAATCACCAAAATGCACCCATTCAGGCAAAGCTTGCCTGGATTTATCCTGGAGCCCCCTCCAGCCCCCAGCTAACAGAGGCTGGGGGAGAGTGGTGTGCAGCACTTCACTTGTTATTCCACTCTAGTCCAGTGCAAATCTTTGTCATGTCAATGGGAAAAGACAGGGCTCTTCAGAGATGATTGCTCTCCTGGGAGGAGGAGTTGTTCAGTTGGGTAGGATGAGTTGCCCTGCAGCAGAGCCAGTCTGTCTGGCTGGAGACAGAGCCCAGACAAGACACCTCTGCTGAGGAGAGCTGGAGCCAGGTGAGGTGAGCATCACACCCCCTGCTAACCCAGAGACCATGGCATGCTGCTGCCACAGCTTCAAGTTTTTCATGCTAATGGATAGACTAAGGAAAAGAGATTGTTTTCATGAACTGCTTCAACAGAACACAATTGTTTCCAGCACTCTGGGCCAGGTGGCTGCCAAACACCCCAAAAGCCTTTCTCCCCTGCAATAGAGGGGCCTTAGTTTAATTCCTCTGGCTTCAGCTTCCTTCAGAAGTTGTGGGTGAAAAACAAGAATATCCAGCCTGGCTCTCTGAACTCCTAAAGAACAACTTAAATCTATTTCCTCCCACAGAAGAACAGGGTGTTGTTAAAAGGATTGTAATAACTCCTGCCTGAAAGGGCTGCATCGCCCATGTAAACACAAATCTACTGAGGTTTGTTCCCATCACAAATCAAGAAAGCATTTATTAAAATCCAAGGTTACTTACAGCACCCAGCATCTGTAGATTGGTTGGTTATGGACAAGAGATTTGCTTTCCTTGTAAAGGGATAACTAGTGGCAGTGTTTACAGCATTTACTGAAATTGGAGTAGATGCTGCAATGCCTAGGGGAAGATCATATTGTCAAAGAGTTAAGAGTATTGCTAAGAAAGCAAATCCAAAATAATACCATTCATGTTTTCCACATGAAAAGCAGCAAGAGAAGTAATATAAATAGAAAATAAAAGTATTATCATATCACAAAAGCATAAAGTAATACATTATCTTAATTTTTGAGATTAAGGGATTGTAGAATTGTTTTCTCACTAAAGCATCAAATCTGCAAGCAGTTATTCATCTCATTATCTTAAAGCCTATTAGCAGGCCCGTTGATGTCTGTGGGCTGTAAGTATCTTTTGCAGAACTGGTACCACAAGGAATTATTTCAGCCAGTGCCAAACTGCTTGCAGCAGAGGGCTCAGCAGCTCAGAGTGGGCTCATACAACCACTGAGTCTGGGCTGCAGTCAAAACAGAAAAGAAGAGAATGGCAGAAATTATGCCATTAATTGTTTCTCAAGAGGCTGGAGATGTGCACTGAACAAAAGTGACTTGCTCTGAGAAGCTGCAGGGTCTGAAGTTTAAGGTTTTGGCAGGTGAATGAGGACAGCTGAGGGTGAAATAGAGGAAAGAGTGAGGGACTGTGAAATGAATACTCTGCATTTCCATCAGAAATAGGTAACATGTTTATGTGGAATTTTGTCCCAACAGGAGGAAAAGGGGCGCTCATGCTCCAGAAATTCCTGCAGGTGACTCCTGCAAAGGAGCACAATGTCCTGCAGGAACATCCTCAGCACTTCCCAAGCTGAGACCAACATTTCTTACCTTCCTTCCTTGGGCTCAGCCAGTGAGGGATGACAGTGGCATGTTCATGCTGAGGGTGGCAGCTGTAATAACCCTCCAGGTTTACACAGCTGCTTTTCTCAGGGCAAGCATTGAATTCAGCATAGGAGCATTCATTGACATCTAGGAAGAACAAGACACTTTGCACAGGTACTGGGAGCAGCATCAAGACTGATCTGCACTGTGTGTAGACCAAGCTCTGGTTATGAGAAATAATCAGAAATCTGCAGTAATGCTCCAAGAGCCATTCTGGATGTTATCACCCCATCACTTTTTACCCCAATTCTTTGGAATTAGAGGACAGTTAGGGGCAGCTCCTGCTTACAGGAGCCTGTAGGATGCCATCCAAACCCGAGATGTCAGCACAGGGGGAAGGAGGACTACCCAGTGATTTCACTGAAAGCTGGACTGAGTAAACACAGAATAAGAAGCACTGATAATGGAGCTTATGCATGCATTTCAGGAGTGAAAATGTTCAGATAAGTGCAGAACAGTAAGTAGACTGATATAATTTAAAATTAATGTATTGGAATGTTTATGTAACATTTTAAAAGTATGTAGTAATATGCTACAGTAATTAACAGACTATAAATATGACTTGTTTCATACAAGCTATGGAAGTAACATGGCAACAGAATATATCTGCTCCCCAAGAAAACAGTTTTTCAAAGAGTCTGTTTAATAGTACTAATGATTGTGCTACAAATATGCACATATTTGCTCTTTCATCTGAAAAACTATGTTACTGGGGGAAAATAAATTTGAGGGTTCAGAGGCGTTCCCTTCCAAACTACTCACTCCAAAATAATCATTAACTCTCCATCCTATAACAGAAAGGTCAGGGCCTTGTTTGCAAAGTTTGCAAGATCCTCTGTGCAAAGTAATGGTTATATAAATGAGATCCCAAGCGAAGAGGGATGAAACCCCCTGAAATGTGACAGGATTACAATCAGTGACCTTGCACTTGTGTGTCAATCACTTCATACACTCGCTTCACCATGGCCTTCAGGGAGGAGGAAACCTCTGCCAGAGGAGCTGGCTGCTGCATTCCCAGGAGAAGCTGAGAGGCCACTGTCCCAGCGTAGATGTCCCCACGGTCACTCTGGATGTGGTGCACAGAGGCATTCAGGGGCTGCAGTGCTCCAGTGATCTAGAAAACAGGGCAGCAAACACTGGAGCACCTTGGTCATTTCCCAGCACATGAATTATGTAGTGGTTATTATCATAATCTGAGTGTAGGAAGAAATTCAGAAACCACGGCAAAGTGGTACCTCTTGGGCCTGTGTTTATGGTGAGTTCTTATTTTCACATTTCACAACAGATTTATGGCACAGAAATGCCAAGCTGCAGGGCGTGTGGAGCTGATCTCAAAATGCTTTGGCAGAAGGAGTAACCCAGGAAGAGGTGGGAAAAGTCCTGCTTTGAAAAGTCTCAGTGGATTACAATATATTACACAGGCCACTGCAGTTTGGCTGCAATAAAACTGCCCAACACTTCTTTGAACAGCTAAATGGACTGCTGGCAAAGGGAATAGAAAGAAGAAGAGGAAAAGCAACAGACTCAGGATGAGGGGTGGGATTAAGAACCACAGAGAGACCCCAGGCACACCAAGCCATCCCAGCTGAGAGTCAGGAATGAGAGAAAGGATCTGCTGGTGGGCTGAGCACTAAGGGTCCCTTGAACAGCTTCACCTCAACTCCCCATTTCTTGAGTGTTTGACTCCCACATAGCTTGTTTTAAACCAAAAAGCCTTGGTGGATCCCTTGGTGGGTTCAGCCCCTCTGCTGCTACTACACAGCAACAGGACCAGGGTTTCTTGCTTTTTTAGGATATGAGAAGGGGAAATCAGATAGGAGGAAGAATTACACCCATGCTGTTATCATTTCTATTCTCCTGCCCACCACTGCCAGCAGATTATGGCAGATAGGTTTGTCTTGGAAAGGCTTAACTTAAAATTCTGTATCAGGAAATATCATGTTTTGAGGGGCTTGAAGTCTGGTCCCAGTCTGTCATAGGCCCAAAACTGAAGTGAGAGCTGGAGCAAGAACTGCTTAAGCAGGAAAACCCCCTTTATTTCAGTATGTCTCTAAATTGCCCTTGGAAGAGACCTGAAAATTTGCTAAAGAAGCTGATAAATCAATGTTACTTGAATTGCTTAAGGACTCAGCTGACATTCAGTAATCGGAAATACAGAAATAATCAGCAATTGGGCCAAAAAGCATCAATCTGGCAGAACAAAGGGTGAGCAAAGAGTGGCCCCTGAGGAACAGAATCATGGGCACAACGAGGGAGGAGTGTTTGTACATACCACAGAGTGCAAAAGGCGTGAGTGATTCAGAAGGTGGGGATCCACCCGGATTAATTCATTAAAATCCATTTTCACGAGCACTGTCACGTTGTACCAGAACATCCTCCCTGCAGCACAGGAAATAAACCAGCCAAGTCATCTGAGCTCTGGTGCTAGAGAAGGCGACAGAGCTTCAGGGAGGCTCTGAGGAAACAAAGCAAGATTTAACTTGGCAAATTGTGAGGGGCCCACGAGCAGCCACCAGCCAGGGCCTCGTTTGCCATATGCCACAGGCAGAGGAGCCAGCAGAGGAGAAGGAGCCAAGGAAGGAGCCAAGGAAGGAGCCAAGGGAGGTTTGCTGGACCCACAGCACCCACACACCACTCAGTGCTCACGGCTGCAAGCACTGGAGCTGAATATCCTGGAATCCATCCAAAGCAGATTCCCGTATTTGTTTCAGGAAGAGCTATGGTAACAGATTTCCTGCCCACTCCTACCCTCAGGAGGGAAAATTAAGGATATTTCTATTAGAAGCAGAGTTGAATTTATCAGTAACATACCCTCTGGAATGGGATCCACACAGCCTGCTCCTTTGGATGAGCTGCAGCATTTTTTCAGCCCTGGACATTCAGTATCGAACGTGCAAGGATAATCAAATGTTTCCATATCCTTCACTGGACAAATACCAGGTCTTGAGGCAAATACACTGGATCTATTGAGTGCTAAGTAAAAAAAACATTTCTGAGAACAAAAATACAGAAAGTTGTTTCCATAAAATTGTGATATTTAATTTATACCAAACACCTCCTCCTCATTTTACAAGCATGTCTGTTCTGAGTTTTTAATGGGAAGAAAACAGCAGCCTAAAATATCATTATTTCATTTCAAAGGTGTAAATATTCTCAGATATTTCTCTTGTCCATGAAATTTCTGTTGCAGAAATTTTGAATTTCTAACTTTCCATTAATAATTATGGATGGGCTCATAGTTAAGTTTCTAAACATGGAGACACTGAAGCACCATGAAACAAAAAATGTTCCTGGTGTCAGCTGTGACTAATCCAAATAATATCTAATGATCAAAGAAAACAGGTACTGTGCAAGATAGAAATGAAGAACTTTCATTTAATATTTTTTGGCACAAATTTAACCTTAGTTGCACTAATTCTGTTCCAGCTGGCCACTCCCACTCCAGCCCATGCCAGAGAGGGCATCTGAGGCAGGAGGTTGCAGGAGACAGTGGTTCTGGATCAGTGCCAGCACAAAATCTCTTCTGTGGAGGAAAAGAAAAGATATTTCCAAGCCCTATAAACTCACTTCTTTACCCACACTCTCAAACACAGCTCCAAGTAATGCTCAGCTCTGGTCTTTCTAAGCAACCTGAAAGAAATCTCTTTTCCGTTCATTTTTGATCCTTTACTGGGCAATTAAAGTCAGCCAGGAGAAAAATGGACCTGATTGCTGCAATAGAAACAGTTGTGGTGCAGGAAAACCACGTTTGACGTAATAAAGCCCATAGCAAGTGAAAGATCCACAGCAAACTATAAATCTATTATGAGCAGCTCTGTGGGTTTACAATTTCTGTTATGCCGAGGCCCTGGATGAGAGCAAATGTGAGGTTTCTGAGAAGCAGGAGGGGATATTGAATCTAGCACTTTTGGCCTCAGCAAAGTAAGTTTCTTAGCCAGGGAAATTGTCTTGGTTAACCAAGACTTAAACTGGATCTACAAAACTTGCTGCCACATGCACATTCCAGATCCCCCTCTCTCTGGGGCTGGCACTACAGGTGGTTTCCCCAAACAGGTCCTTTTCCTAGAAATATCCCTCTTGATTTCCAAAGCCACATTAAGGTGTGATACAGCCTTGGCTGCTCTTAGCTGAGTCTCACACACATTCCCTAATGATTGTTCCTTCTCAGCCTCCTGTGCAGGGAGCTGAGCAGCCCCTCACACTGGATTTTGCACAAACACAAACACCCTGTGTTAGAAAATTCCCTATTCACCCTGGTTTGAGCAGGTGGATCCTGGTCAGCTGGACCCAGGCATGGAAATTCCTCCAGCCCTGATATTCAGGTGCAGTTCAAGCAGGCTTGAGGTCCAAAGCAGGGGTTTTTTATCCCACCTGTGTCTCTTTATTTTTTTTGCTGTGTTTAACTGCAGTGTAAATGGTTTAATGAGTCACATGCAGTCTCAGAAAACACTATTGAATCCTGGCTGGGTGCCACAGCAGCCATTTATCCGAAATCAAAAGGTCATCTTTTTTGGATCAACGGAAACAGAGATGGATTCACTTCACATTTCTGCTTAATTGTACCAGATGCACTTTGAAAATTCAATTTGTGCCCTCCTCTTCAATCATGCTGGGGACAGTCCCCTTCCAAGCAAGCAGTGAGGAGCAAGCCAGCCAACTCCTCTGTCATTTGGATGAAGTACAGGCTTTTCTCCTCTTTTATTTCCACAAATGTATGGAAGCAGAACTGCAGCTTAGCAACCAAAGGTCACTTGCCAGCCTGCCTCTGGACAGCTGCTGGATCTGCCATCACTGCAGGATGGGGCAGGAGATTGATGCTGAGGGACAACATTAGCTCAGCCATAATCCCCTTCCTCTCCCTCCTTCCCTCTGGAAGGGATGGATTCTTCCAGAGGGTGTGGTGGACCCAGGGACCAGCACTCTGAATTTGTCTCAGGTATCAGAAGGTGGAGACAAATCTATGAAACTACAGAGAAAGCTCCTGGGAAAGTCTGTTCCAAAAGCAGGCTGACAGTTTTCATCACACAACCCTGGTTTGGGGGTCTTGGAGCGTTGGTAAGCTTTACTTGCTCAGGTGGATGTTTTCCATCCTGTTTGCCTCTCCAGGGGTTTAACTGAGATTTGTGCTGATCCAGAATCTGACAAATATTTAACACCCTTCCTGGCTGTTACTTTTGCTTTGGAGGGGAGAAGGCTGAGGGGGATGTGATCAAGGTTTACAAAATCCCAGAGTTGGGGGGCAAGGTGAAGGCGGAGCTGGTTTTCACCAGAGCCCACAATGATAAAACAGGTGAAAGAACTCACTTCTTTACCCAAACAGGAGGGAACTTCTGCAGTTTATCAGCACAGGGAGTGTGGAGACAGACAGCTTCAGTGGGCTCAAAAAGGGACAAGGCAATTCCCAGACAGGAGTCCCATGAATGGATGGGAATTGTGGCAGGGATGTCGATAATCCCATTTCTGCAGCTGCTGAGGGCACACAAGGGGCACAAACTGCAGGGCAGCCAGAGCCACCTGCTTCTGGAGGAAGTCCCACAGGACATTCTGGCACCTTCCCACCCCAGGCTGATGCTGCAGTGCTGCCCAAATGTGACACCACTGTCCCCTGGCTTTCCTGAGGCAGCCGAGCACAGGGACAGCAGTGCCCCAGCTCCTGCTGCTCTGGTTACAGTCAGCATGGGAACATCTGCATGGCAGCTCTGGGAACATCTGCATGGCAGCTCTGGGAACATCTGCATGCCAGCTCTGGGAACATCTGCATGCCAGCTCTGGGAACATCTGCATGGCAGCTCTGGGAACATCTGCATGCCAGCTCTGGGAACATCTTCATGCCAGCTCTGGGAACATCTGCATGGCAGCTCTGCAAGGTCCCAGCCTGGCTGAGGAGCTCCTTGGACACCTACAATCAGCTTTTTCTTCACTTTGTAGCTGCTTTTCTGAAAACCTTTGGAAGTTGTGCACATAAGGCACAGTGATTAAAATCCTGATTTTAACATTGCACATCAAGTGCTCTCAAGAAACTCCACAATTAAAGTTGTCTTGGGCCTTCTTATTTCAAGGTATTTTTGTACATGTGTGCTTAAAACCCAGCATTCACCATGTGCTGATGCACTCTCCCTCCCTAGCTGGGGATCAGGAAGGGTTAGATGGCAGATAAGGAGCTCTCTGGTTTCATCTTACGCTGGAAAGTGGGCAGCAAGCCAGTCACCAGGAGAAATAACCATCCCATCCATTCAGGCAGCTGGAAACAAGCCTGGAGAACTGGGTCCTACCTCTACCTAAAAGACAAGATGCTGGGAGAAGTTTTGTGTGGTGAAACAACCTTTCAGAGCAGTGGATTTCACAGGCCCATGAGCTTGACCTGCAGCCCTGTGCCCCAACCATACAAGTTATTTAAAAGCAGCACTAAGCACCATGGAAATCAGAATAAATTTATGAAAAAATTAAAGCTGCACCCAAGGTGTCTGAAAGCAGGTCTGAAACCGACAGAGAATGGTTTGATCACAGATTTTCTGCAGCTCAGTTGCCCATCTGTGAAAGACACAGGAGCTCCCTTGCTTCCTACAGCCTTTGTGAGGACAAATTGCTGCCTGTGAATCCCCCAGGATTCACCTAAAAGGTGATAAATAATTCTCTGCTCAGTGAGAGGCTGAGCAGAGCACTGAATGTGGAGGTCAGGATGGGACACTCTGGGGAGCTCCATCATCCCTGGGCACTGGGAAATGTGGGAAACTGGGGCACTGCAGAACTGGATCAGGTAATTAAAAGAGTTCACTGATCTGCATGCATGGGCAAAAAGAGAGAAAACAAAGGTTGTTTTATTTAATTCTACCTTAAGAATGAATTCCAGCGCTTCCTAACTTTTAGATATTTAACTTTCCAGCTGTTATTTAAAAATGTCAAAGTCATTTGTGTGTGTACCTGTAACCCCATCCCAATGGAAAGAGAACTAGTGAGAACTACCAGAGCAACTTGACCAGTGATCTAGACATTTTTTTCCCCAAGAGCAAAGAAATAATAAAAGCAGGGCCTGCCATATCCCAGGCAGGGGTAAATGTTTCCTTCTAGGATGAGAAGGTGAGGAGTGGCCAGGAACAGGCTGCTGTGGAAAGTCATGGAGACCTTTCCATTCCTGGCAGGATGGAGAGCATGCCAGCATGGATAACGTCAAGAAGAAAATAACAGTAGTTCAACAGCGTGCTGTGCAGTAATTTCTGCAGTTCCAGTTTCTCTTCTCATCATTTATTTAAGACTGTGTCTAGACAGTGCATTACTATTCACAGAATTTATGACTAATGCCCTGAAAAGCAAAGATACCAGAATAATGTAAACAAGGAAATCACCTAGAAGCCATACAATAAATGGTTTTAAACATTCCCAAATTAACTTTGACAGGAAAAAGTGTCAGGGTGACCACAGTATTTAATGGACAATCTTGTCCAGAGTGCCCATCAACAACATGGGAAGAGAAGGGTAGAAATTCTACAGCTAAGCTTTACAAGAGATTTACAGATTTGTTCATGTTAGATGAAACAGAATCATCAACAGCTCTCAAGCCTAAAATATCCCTAGAGATGCTTTTAAGAGACAGAATTGTACTGGGAGAAAAATATTTCAAGTGTTACCAGGAAGCCTTTTTTTTTCCCCACGCAAGAAGATGGTCTTGATGTTCAGAGGTTCAGAAACACTTGAATTTCTTGTGCAAACAGTGGCAACCACGGTGACTTTTCCACATTTGGCTGGCACAGCTCTTCCCTTGTACTACAGAATTAAAAAGCTGTTTTCTCTGATTGGTTCTCAGTCTTGCCATTTGATACTTGCAGGCACACATGTATGCACATGTCTGTATATCCAAAAGACTTCACTGAGGTAACTTTTCAACCATAATTAGCTGCACTGGAGATTTTACCCCAGCATGGAACCGATGCTTGGAAAATAAAGATGATCAGCAGCAGGTCCTCTGCCTGTCTGACAGTTCTGCTTGGGCACACAGTAACCTGCAGCTCAAATTCTGCTTTGCTGGGACTCCACAACAGCCATGGAGCCAAACATCAGCAGGACACAGTAAATTAGGAATTACACTTTAATTTCTCTTCTCTAGCAAATCATTACAGGAACAAGTAAAACACATGGACAATTTTTGTGTTCCCATCCTTCTGTTAAAATCCTGCTAGTCACAATATTCTACCTGTCACTGTGAGGAAAATGGCTAAGAGAAAAAAAGAAAAACATTTGGAAGGTTTTTTTCCACTGCTCTGAAGCAACTTAAATGTGGGATGAAGACATTGTTCTTGACAGATCCCATGACAGGACATATGGCTCATCCCCCCTCAAGTCACGTTATATGATCCGGTGCAGGAGCAGGTTTGGGGACATTCCCACAGATCTGAGTCACCCAAGTCTTATGACCCAAAACAAGGGCCAGGGCTGCAACAGGACCTTTCCTTTCAATCTGCTGTTCCTGTGTGTGCTTATGTAAATGCCCAGGTCCATACTGACTAGTGGAAATAGAGAAAATGCAATGTCATGCTGAAAACAGGAGACAAAACTATGTCCTGCAGAACTTTTCCGTATGACAGAACAGTTCAATGCTGGTTTAGATAATTCAAGATGCCTGCTCAGCTTAAAAGCATCTAAATTTATCCATTGGAAAAAGAAAGTTCTTTTTCCCCAAGGAATCCCATCCATCCATGTCTCAAGCTCTAATAAAAATGGGAATTTCTAACTGACAGCTGCAAACCCTGATGTGGGAAGGGGAAGAAGCTTCCATCTTGAGACAAAGGTGATTAAGTCTTCCTGAGTAGAGTCTTATTAACACTCAGATGTTAGATCAGGTCCACCAAAAAGTTCACCAGTTCTCAGACCTCCCATATAGTCATAGGTAACCAAGGAAGTCCTAAGAAAATGGGTCCTAGCGTAGTTTTGGTTGGAAAGCATCTGGCATCGAGTTGTCCTGAAGCCACAGGTTGTTTTAAATTTGAACCAAAAATGGGTTTGCATTCTGGAAACAGACCCTGCTCCACATCAGAGGAGATGTTATCCCAAGTGCATCCTGAATTACTTTTGAGGAGAAAGCTCCTGGTGCAAATGCAGGCAGGCTCAGAGCAGACACTGCACCAGACAGTGAATTATTGCTCTTGGCCAGGGGTATTGGCCTGAACTCGGACAGGTAATGAGCCCTTGGAGTGCTAACAAGCAGCTGCCTTCCTCAGGCTCCCCTGGAAGTTTAGTAAACCTGTGACTAGAGGTGGCAAAAAGCAAGAATCAAGAGCTTTAATGTGCTGTGTCTACTCCTTGCTGTGTTGGACAAAGTTAAGTGTACATTATTTTAAAGTCATTTATTTCAGTTAATAGGAGCCCATGGCCCAGAACTGAATTAAGCCTTTACACATCTCAGCTGAAGTGAATCTTCTTCCACAAGAAGCATTTATTTCATCTCTTAATCTGACTAAAACTTACCTAGAGAGCAGTAGAGTCCAACTTGTTCATATCCTTCGCAGCAATCTGTGAGAGTGATGGTTTCAGGGAGTTCAAGGCTGTGAAACTGCGTTCTGTGGTGTGTCTGGGGACACACCATCCACGGGATCCACCCTCCACAGGGTGTGTTCTTCTCATAGGACTTTTGGTATGTGACCATTTTTAACACACTTTTGGTCAGGGTGTAGTTGCACAGGTGGTACCCCAGCAAAGAGAGGCCTTTTTCTAGGAAACAGAAACAGGAAAGAAAGGGATCAGCATTAAATTGTCACCACAGAGCAGAAGCTCCCTGCAGTATCCAGTGAAACACAGAGTTAAAAGAAAGCAGTGACAGAACCAACACAGATGAATGATTCCCAGGAAGTCTGATGTTGGGAAGAACATTTCTTCAAAAAACAGACACAAGAAAGAATTGGTAGTGACTGCTTGTCACAGGCATCACTTTGGTCATGAAAAGATGAAGACTGGCAGAAAATTCAAAGAGTTCTTGGTGCCTTCAGGTGTGAGGCAGAAAAAGGGCAATTTAACTCAAGCTAATAATAAGGAAATTTACATATGTTAATATAAATTAAGAGTAGAACACAATAGGCACTTCCAGGGCAGAGTCATCCCAGTAGTTTAAAAGCCCACTCCAGCCTCCTGCTGCCAAAGCCTTCATCACTCTCCACTGACTATAAAGGGAACAAAGGGTGAGGAGCTCATGGGCAGATGAGTCACAGTAGATGTCTGGAATAAGACATCCTTCAGACATCACCCTAGGCTAAAACTGGGTACTCATACATCACTGGGAAGCACTTCCAGGTAGCTGACACAAAAGGTATTCCTGGAGATCCTGCGCTGCCTCTCTGCATTTGGAGCAGACCTTGTTGATCACACCACTGGAAACCTGCAGTGGTTCACTGACTTTGAGTATAAACAAAGTCAGTGATAAGGTCATTAACTGCATCATTTCACACAGGTCTGGGGATGGGACTCAACTTCCAGAGTTCTGAGACCATTTCTGATGAGGAGTGAACTCGTGACGTGCTTTACTTAAAACTGAAATATTTCAGCAGGGAAAAAACCCCAACATCAAACAACACAAAGAAACCCCAGCAACAGCAACAAAGGCAGCTGGAGTTTAAGAATTAGCAGCAGGCAACCTACAGTTTTGTCACAGACATCAGGCTGGCTCCTAATGAGATGTTATAGAAGCCAGAGGGGCTGAGTCACCCTGTGTCCCGTTTGGGCAACAGATTGGATGGAATTGAAATGCCTCTATCATCCTCTAGCCAAAGCAGAAGGAAATTTAATAAGGAGAAATATGAATTAGCTGCAGAGATTCAAATATAGAAGGATTTTTTTTTCTTTTCTGAGAACTCTGAGGGCACCAGGATCAGCCAACAGGCAGACTGAAGCCAACACAATATACACAACAGGCATACAGTTAAAACATTTCCAGCTTATCCTATTTGTACAACTTATCTCCTGCCTCAAAACATGAAACATGTTTAAAGCAATTCATGAAGAAAAAAAAAAAAAAGAATAAGAATTGTCAGGCTTTCAGGAATCCTGTGCTTTTATCACATTTAGATTCCAGCTAAACAAAAGACATTTGTGCAATTTGAGCAGGACTGGGAAAAGAGCTTTGGAGTGGAGGATCCATTTATAGTGCAGAGACAGTCCAGAAGAAAACATGGAACAGACTTGGTGTCTAGATGTGGCCTCTGGAAGTGCAGCCCTGCTCTGCCTCACTCAGCTGTGCCTTCCTCCTGCAGCAGAAGGCAGAGCTGATGCTGGGTTGAGCTCCAGAGAGTCCATGTGAGAGCCAGAGAGCTCCAGCAGCATCCAGGGAATCTGTGCTGCTGCTTGGAGCAGGTCAGCAGGAAAATACTGCCAGGAAACCCCACTCCCTGCTTCTTCCTCCTGGCCAGCCTCCAGCAGGGCACCTCTGTGCCCCTCCCTGAAGGGACAGCAGCTCAGAGGTCCACTGGAAAAAGAAATGATGTGAGAGCTCTCCACATCCCTGGCTGGCACCAGGGCTGCTCTTGGTCCCTAAGCAGGGAGTGGAAGGAGGTGGTCAAGAGGGACAGGAAGACACCCAGCCTAGCTCAAAACCTGGCTCAAAGCCTAGCTCAAAGCCTGGCTCAAAGCCTGGCTCAAGCCCAGACTCTGCCTGAGGCAGGAGAGGATCCCAAAGGCTGGGATGGAGCTCTGACCAGGACATGGAAGGAGTGAGCCAGAGAAAACAAGGTGACCTCTCCCTCTGGCTGACTTTAGGATAACTCTCTGGGAGAATGGAAAAGGAAAACAAATGTGTGTTCTGGAGCAGGAATCGGAGATCAAGGGCTGCTTTTTATTCAGTGTATTTGAACCATTAACACCTCACACGAGGCACAAGTGCCTGACAAGAAACAGGCAGCTGTTATTGCATTTTGGAAAGCATTCCCTTGCCATGTGTTAAGACTGCTCCAGGAATACCTTTCTCCACAAATGCTTCCAGGCATGTAGGTGTGGGGGGAAAAATAATAAAATCTTACTTCAGCTTTTGTTTTGTTTTGTTTTTTTTGCTTTGGTTTGGTTTTTTTGTTTTGTTTTGTTTTTTTAATTAGTTTGTAACTTGAATGGCTAAATAACCAGAGTGGAACAGAATTAATACCTAAATAATTCTGGTTATAGCCTTTCCCTGGAGAAAGTGCACAAACATCTGTTGTGACCGTGGAAGGAGACAGGAGCAGGAAAATACTGTTCTATGAAAAAGAGAAAGAGAAACTCCTGTATTAAGGAATCCAGCTGTTATAGTATAAAATCACATTAGAGGGGAGTAGGGCAGGTAAGAAGCAAGAGCTCAGCCTTGTTCCTCATCCCTATGACCCCTCTTTTTCTCCAGAGCTCACAGAAAGCCTGGCAAGAGCAAGGCAGGGACTGGAAGGGAAAAACTGAGTAAGGAGAGCACTGAGGATTCGTGTTGTCCATGCAGAGCTGAGGCTGCAGCCAGGACATAGCACTGGAAAGCTAAAAATTCCAGAGTCAGCTGGCTCAGTCTCTACAGCAATGTGCAACATAAATACAGGTATGAAACTGAGAATAAGATGGTGTAGAATTAGACACAGTTTATAATTGGAAGCTACAGCTGTCAGAGCAGATATGAAGTCATATTTCGTACTTAAACATTGATACTAGGTACATATATATAACTATATATACACACAAAGTATAGAATGAGGCTGCCAAAGCCTAAAGAGCTCTGAGAAAAGGCTGTGGTGGTACAAAATGATGCCCTCAGTGCAAGAAGTTGGACTGAAGGTGTCAGGGACAGGTGCAGCACCACCAACCTTTTCCTCATCCATCACTTCCATAATGTTCTAAACAACCTTTGACACTCACAGAGCTCAATTATTTTGCTGACAGCAGTTTTGCTGCTGAGCAATGTGGCTTGGATCAATTTGGGCTCTTTAGCAAATTGGCTTTCTGTTCTCATTACTCCCATCTATGGGATTATGGCACAATCAAATGGAATTAAAATGCACTGGCTGTTGTTTTCAGCGACTCAAAGCTGAAGTCAATGGCACAGCAGAAGGCAGTCACCTGCCATTAGTATGGGAATGTTACACCTATCATTTCTGGATTTTAGGATTTTATCTCAGAAACCACCAGCTTTCAGCAGCATCAGGTAAAATATCAATTTTTTTAATTTTAAGAAAGAGCATTAACAATTAATGCAAACCCTTTATTAACAGAAACAAACACTGAGAGGAAAGCCTGGGAGCAAAGGCTGCACAGGAAAAAGCTCCTTGAAACTCAAGGTTAAGCCTAGATCAGAACTGAGAGCATGACCAAAAAAACATCAATAAAGAATACTTCATAGCATTTATGTCACAGACAAAGCTGCAGTTCTGGAAATTTCACTACTCAGGTGGCTCAGGAGCCACTGTGAGCTGGGATCTGCAAAATCTTTTCTCACTGGAGAGCAGTAAGACTGAAAGGCAAGTGCCAAAACCTCAAAAACAAATGGTTGGAACAGGATGGAGGGCAGATTCAAGCTCATTTTTGAAATGCAAACACTCCAAAACATTTAAAAAATGAATCATAAACTCAATTTTCCTACAAATTCCAAATTTTAAAGTCAACACCATTTATTTTAAGTGGCACTAGGATGGGAGTTCTATTGACCCTAATCTCTGCAAACCTCTTTTCAGCTGTGGCTTTGACAGAATAACAGAAAAGTCTGCAAGGCTCTAAGAAACGTGGTTTATATTTAACTGAGACTCACAAAACCACTTAAGTAGAAAAAAAAACAATGAAGAGCAGTCAAAAATCATGATATTTTCTCATCTAAATGAATCAAACCAGAAATGAAGAGTAAATTAAGGGTTCATTTAGCAGTTACAGTTGGGTTAGGGTTTTTCAAAATTACAGTCCATACCACAGATGAAATTTTAAGCTTGTCTTCTACAGCTTCATTTTATGCATCCCTGGGAATTTGCCAGGCACATTACTACATCATTTCCTGCTAAAGCTTATTTTAAAGACAATTTTCATAAAAATTTGCACAATACTGAAGACAAAGCAGAAACATTCCTTGTTTATTTCTGGCACAAAGGAAATGACAAGGATTTTGCCTGGGGATGAAAGGCTGGGGACAAAGGTTGCGTTTTTGCTTGGTTAGATTTTCTCTGTTCAATTATCGACAGAGGATTCTTAAATGGTCACTGGGACATTGCCAGTTCTCCAGAGAATGGCTGCCTTGGCTGGTTTATTTCAAAGAATTATCTCTCCAGCATCCAAACTAAGCTGTCCTCTGGCCAGACTTGCATCACTCACCTGTAGTGTCATCTCCTCTTCCCTGCTGTGAGGCTGCCCAGAGGATGAGAACAGAAATAAGAGTGATCCTGGCCATCAGAGGGCCCATCCTGGATAAACCTTCCTTATCCCTTTGTTTCCAAGGTGGCAGAGCTTGGCTGTCCTTACACCTTGGCTCTTGGATTAGGGGAAAAGGTGCTCTGGGTTTTTTTACCTTTTGCAGGGAGGTGATAACTGCTGGCAACAGAAACAAAGATGCTCCGCTGGGAATTTTGCTGCTTCTCTCTCCTTCGTGCTCTCTCCAGGGGATCTTGCCTCTTCTGCCTGTTCAGCTTGGCTCCTCTGGCCTGACTTTGAGAAAAAGCCATTTTAAAACTGCTGGTTTACCCCCTGTTTATCCTTTGGAGCGCTTATTCCCTCTCACACCTTAAGCACTCAACTTCTGGGAGCCAGACTCACCTCAAATATCAGGTATAAACATCTTGAA